ACAAACATACATACATATGTATATATGTATGTATGTATGATCATTCGTTAACGAATGCGAAACAAACAAATCAATGTAAAAAGGAGCCCCTTATATATGCATACAACAATTAAAGTCTGTTAGTCACATAGTACGATAATATTTTGCACGTGCATACATATATGTATATATATATATATATATATATATATTTATATGCAAGTTTGCGTATGTGTATATGCATTGGTTTGTATGTATGTACATGGATATGTATACATGAAAAAATACGTCTGTATGATTATTTGCAAATATTTTTATGTATGTATAAATAAATTACCTAGACACACATATAGAGGCATATAATTTGGGTATTCAAGATATTACCTAAAAATAGACACTTAGCTACTGACGTTCAACACACAAGCATATGCACATACAGACGTATGTATGTAGTTGATAGTTCGCTAACAAAAATATACTTATACTATATGTATAACCTCTACAGTATATACATACATTCATACGCATATATATATGTATATATATATATATATATATACATATATACATATATGTATATGTATATGTATATGTATATGTATATATATATATATATATATATATATACATACATATGTATATATATTATAGGTATGTATATTATATATATATAATATATACGTTTATATGCATACATATAAGTTGAAAATACATACATACGTACATATGTAATACAAGACCAATAAATAGGGTCATTGATGTATGTACATATGTTAGTAAAATGTACAAAATATTATGCACCTTATTATTTCTTAGACCTGCTTTTAAAAAGTTGTATTTCAATTTTTTGTCTTTCGCGTGTCATTTAGCATGGGTTGCATAATCAACTTTTCCACGCATACATACATATGTATGTATGTATGTGTTATAATTACATATGTACATAGGTAAATACATATACTCTTTTACATTTAGGTATGTAGGTATACCTTGAAATCTTGTGTACACACATAAATATAAATGGATGTTTAAAATAAAAATAAAGGTCTTCATAAATGATCATAATTTATATTTCGATGACTAAATATTTTCAGAAGATAATCCAAATTAAAATCACATTTGCATGTCTTTGAACATGTCGAGCGAACTACCTTCTTTTATGTATCTACATATGTATGTGTGTACATACATGCATATGTATATTTCGAAATTTTCTATTCATGAAGATGAACAAAATTATATACATACATATAATTATGTATGCAAATACGTATGGTTGCCCGTACTTGTATATTTAGGTATGTATGTGTTACATATATCTTATATATGTTTGTGCACTTGTGTTGAGTGTAGATCAGGGAAACGTAATTTTCAATACATAACTGGTTCAATTGTAACTTTGAAATATTGTAGGATACACTTTAAATCACCAACTTCATTATTAAATGTACATAAGTATATATATACATATATATATATATATATGTATATGCTTTTATATTTATATATATATACGTATGTATATAAATACTATATATATATATATATACACATATATATATACATATATAGTATTTATATGTACATGCAAGTGCGCGGGTTTTTAAATTTTAAAAATGTTTTAATACTTGTATTAACATATGAACACATAAATTTATATATATATATAAACGCTGTATATAGAACTTGTAATGTTGTATATATATTTTTACACTTTCGTGATCGTACTTATTAGAATTGTTGTAATAAATCAACAAAACTTACAAATTTTGATCTAAACAAAATTCTTGTATTATATAATATTTTTAGTCAAAAGACCAAGAGCTAACACAAAGATCGCGCTATTATAACGATCAACGGCAACTGAACGCAAGGAGAACGTTGCTTGATGAGAGTGTCTATTTGAATTACAAAATTCATATATTTTGGCAAAATTCCCAAAACTAGATACGCTCTCTATTTTGGCCTGGGAAAATACTTTTAGCACGCATAAACTTTTAAGCACTAACCGTATATTCGGTTTTGTGTTGTTGTGTTGGTGTGCACATATGTTTGAGTATGTATTTACATGTATATGTGTATACATTGATAAAATAAATGAGTTTAAGTAGCTGTGTATGCTTGTGCATACACTTTATATATACATATATATATATATATAAATATATATAACTTTATATACAGTATATGTACATATATATAAATTATTTCTATGTTTTCATTACTTATTTTACATTTCATTATTATTTATATAAATTGTTAATTACTAGAAAATTATTAAAAATTATCTAATCAATCTTCTAGTTCACACGAGTATATACATATACTTTTACAACACTCGAAAGCTAAAATTTAAGCAACTCTTTTTTTTATCCTGTATGAAAAACATTACTAAAATGCTAGAATATATAGTTAATCTTTGACAAGTAACTTTGGAAAGCTTACTGGCACACAATTTCAAAATAATCTTGATATGCAATCTACTCTCAAAATTTATATTATATAGCTCTTAAAGTTCCCGAGATCGATGCGTTCATATATACGGACACGATCGGGTGGGCAGATATACCAACATACGGTTTTTTTTTTTTTTTTTTTTTTTTTTAACATGACATACGGAAATGGCTAAATTCACTCGGCTTTATCCTTCTCCAGTGTTCTTCTACCATTAAAATTTATTAACTTATTTTTATTGGGGGTAATGGATTTAATATAGTGCCGATTAATCAACATAAAAAGCTTTTATGTTTATAGCTGATAACGTTAGCAGACATTTGGAATATAAAGCTAAAGCTTCAGTTAAAATTTAGTTTTATCTCTAACATCTTACACTATCAATATTTTATTCTTTATGCTAACAATAGTCGATTTTTATACCCTGAACCCATTGAAAATGGGTAAATAGGGTAAAATGTATTTGTGCAAAAGTATGTAACAGGCAGAAGGAAGCATCTCTGGCCCCATAAAGTATATATATTCTTGATCACAAGCCGAGCCTATATAGCCATTTCCGTCTGTCCGCCCGTCCGTATGTATCAACGCAAGGATCTCAGAACCTATTAGTGCTGGAGATATTTGGAACGTAGGTTCGCCTAGTGTCCGTGCAGTACGAGTGTTTTCCGATTATCGATAACTTGTCCCGTTTCCAAGTAATCGGTACAAACCGATATCGAAATCCTTTTTTGAGCAAATCTCTTAGGTTTTTAGAGCTAGAGTCACCAAAATTGACATGGAGCTTCTAGAATAGTATATATATCAAGTATCTTTCGTTGTATAGCTATCGCCACGTCATCGCTACCACCACATAGCTTTAAATCAAGTAAATAAACCATATCACGCAAATACAACATATGTTGTATGGTTAGTGATACAATGGATGAAAGTATGGAAATGTCAGACATTTTCCACAGTGTCACATGCAAAGGCTATTAGACATAGATATCGAACCCATGAGAAACTATACGTTACGTTTACGTAACACTTTGGGCTTTCTTGAGTTAACACGCCACCCAGCCCATGCAAACAAGAAATAATAGCTTGGAAAAGTCTGGCGAACTTAACCAGGACCAGTAGTTAACTTTGGACGAAGTTTGAAGTTCGTTTACGGTGAGGACGTCTGGGAGTAGCTCACTCGTTAACTTATCCGTAACTTAACTGGTAATCCCTGTCCTGTCAGTGCAGCTGACAATCTACAGAACCGGGTTTCTACTAAGATACGCTTACTCTACGGATGATAGGCCGCCATTCTAGTCTCAGTTATCGTGCCTGCCTAGGCCCTTTGAAGCACGTTGTAGATTTCTGTGAACGATATCAAAAAATTCCCTCAACCTGTGCCTGGGGTCGAGTTCACTAGTTGCAGACCCCGGAGTAACCAGGTCGAATAATACAGCGGAAAGACGCCGATCTTTGACCAGCCACAGACTCTGATGGTCTTCGATAAATTGCGCTATCATCGTCTCTACCGTTCTGTTGTTTCTCGCAGTGGGTTTTTCTGTGGAAAGTATTATGCCGTATACTGGACTCCTTCCTAAAAGAATGCAAGGAAGGACTTGAAACTGCGGCTTGGCAATTTGTAAAATCTTGGGAACACCTCCCTAAGATTCTCTAAATTTTGTTCACGGTTAGCCCCTATCATCGCAATGTCATCTAAGATTATCGTTTCCACATATGTCCTAGAATTATTTGAACACGAACATCGAATGCTGGGATTCGTCTCACGGTCGACGGGACGAGGCCTCGTTTAAATACTACAAACTAACACAACACTCCTACGCTGTCTTTGCCGCACTGTTCGGAGCCCTAGCGCTCCGCTGCAAACTTACTTAAAATCGTTTCCCTTAACTTCTTTTCGCTCGCTGTCAAGGCATGCACTCGCGTCGACCGCTCAACTTCGCTGCGATCTTTTGCATCTTCGCTCCGGAGCTTTCGCTCTCCGCCGCCGAAGTAAAGTTGTGCTCTCGAGGGTGGCGTATAATTCAATTGTTCGCACTGTTTAGATCAGATCTTTCTGGCCCTCCGGCACCAGCATCTTGAGATTATCATTTATCCTCTAACTAACGAACTAAGTGCGTAAGTACTTTTGTAAAAGGTAGAGCTTTCACTCCAAAAAATTAACTGGCTGTATCATATGATGGTCAGGCCTATTGTTCAGCGATGTAAAAAGATGAATTATTAAGGTATTATTTAGAAATTAAGATAACATGCATATCATTTACGAGTTTACGACTTTATTAGGCTGCTTAAGACAGCAGTATAGGCTTTTCCATTTAGACTGATAACTATTATTACTATCAGTTGCTATAGAAGTTCACCAGTTTAAGAACGAGGAATAAGTACTAAGCGAATGTGTACCTAGCATTAAGTTTTTGAGTGGAACACAATATGAGCACAAGTCCCTGTCAGTAATAAGCTTTTTTTTCTTTGAAAGTATATGTATCTTTAATCATAGAGAAGTAAGAATTATAGTTATTAAATTTGTTGATTGACTCCCAACAAGTAACACAATTTTATATTTGAACAAAATTATATATTCAGGCTGAGTTTTTTTCGGTTTCTTCAAAATCCAATGTGTTTAGAACATTAACATCGAGCTCTGGATCAGCATATTCCAATATATTAAAATCATCGCCAATCTCTGATGTTAAGGATTTAAGCAAGTCGTCATCATCACCCTCACCGAATCCACCTAAAATATCTCCAAACCCGACATTTTCTAGTTCAACTGCTGACGATGATATTCCTTCCTGTGATTCAGCTATTTTAATTTCAAGGTGTGTTTTTCCGTCTTGTTCTAGACTTCTCATATCTGTATGCTGGGGTTTTCCACTCATACTTAACATTGGGTTATTTTGCGTTAAAGCAGTATTTTGTATCAACCCAAGTCTCATAACATCGTTAGGCATAAAGAATTCAGAGTTGGAATTATTTAGCACTGTTTCCGAGTTATTTTTTTGCAACAGGTTTCTAAGCTTTTTATCACCAACTGGTTCAGGTTCATAAGCTGCATTATGCTCCATTCTGGTTTCCATCGATGATACTTTCAATGATGATGCAGTATGCATAGTTGTCCTCTGAATTGCAGATTTAACTCCGACATTTTCATTAGAAATTTCCGTCGGCTGATGGGAATTGGTAGAGTGGGTGGCTGTCCCGATGTAACATGATGGGTGATCATATGAAATTCCATCTGTATAAAAGCAATAATATTCATTTTAATAACGCAGGGAAGCAATTTCTTCTAAAGAAAATAGCAGTCATATATATTTGTCCATTGAAAATGTCAAAAAAGGTTTTAATAGTTTTCTGAAAATGTAGTCTTTCCTTACATATCAAATCGCGACGATCTCAAAGACTATAAGAGCGAAATACTTTTTATATAAAACTGAAAGGTTCATCACTCATCGAAAGTTTGTATCATTTCCATCAAGTGAATAAGAATCGGTAGACATATCGTGTATAAGAAATGTTTACATTTTTGCATTTTTCCTAAGCCTTAAATAATTTCTTTTAAGCTCTAGCTCAGATCGGAGATCGACGCGTATCCGAAAAAAATGTTATTTGCCTACAAATGATGGCTGACCATTTTGAACGACGAAAGCGTGTAAATGTAAAATAATATTATTGCACTTACTGTAATTACCAAACAAATTTGGTTGATCTTCCTTTGGCTTACAAGGGTGATTTTTCCAAGAGCGACCATCATCTTGCTTGGTTTCTAGTTTCGACGGTTGACTGACTTTGCACTGTTCGCGCCGTTGGCGTAACGCCGACCTATTATCTTTAGCTTTCTGTAGGAATGGTGCCTTTTTTTCGTTGCATAAAGACCGCCATCTCTTAAGAATCTGCTTGCAACGATCGGTCCAATTAGGATACAATTCCTTAAGATTTGCATGCTCTGTATTAGCATACAAAACAGCAGAAATTGTGGCCATTAATCCAAGATCTGTAAGAACAAATTGTATATTTACTTGTTTTCGCCTGTGACACCGATTTACATACCCTCATCTTTTCGCATTTTTTCAGCTGTCTTTTGTGTGCCAACGTTTATGCACTCAATGGTTTCGGGTGGTTTGGGCTCTTCGACAACTCTTATCTCATTTTGTTGTGGTCCTGTGATATTTTGCGGTTTTGGCTGATTTTGTGTGAGTGCCAACTTATTCGCTGGCAACATAGGCTTGCTTTGAAATTTTCGATCTTGAGTTAATTGTGGAGGTGCAGTATAAGGATCAACTAAACTTGCCGACACACTAAAATTTGTTTTAATTAGAGAAATTTAAGCCTTCAATTGAAATAAGTTAAGCATATTGTACCTTATCGCATTCTTTGTATTATCAGACGATGCAATAAAATTGATGGGAACGTTTATTTCATCCAAATCGGAAATTCCCTGGGAGGCCTGTGCAAAACAAATACATATAACTGATTACAAAGATCTAACATTATGATATATATTTACCATAGAATCCAAAGCATGCATATTCGGCGCTGCGTTCCTTGGAATATCTGACAAAGACGAATCTGCATAAAAAAGTGTTGTCTTTAATGTTTGTTGAAATATTATTGCACTGTTTAAACTAACCAGTTATAACTCCAGCAGATATTTGATTTTTGTTTTGCTGTGTAGTTGTTGAAAATTGGTTCCCAAAAATGTTCTTGTTTTCATGGAGAGGTTTCTCGGCTTTTGTGTTTTTTATTGCCTTTAATGGATTTTTATTAGATATTTCAATATCGGATACTTTTTCACTTGAGTGTGTAAAGAACATTTTCATTGTTGTTCCGATTTCATCCGAAGAATCTGAATCGTAGACTGCCACATCGCCAGATTCCAATAGGGGCTTCCCAAAAAAAGCTTCTTGCAAATATGCCGGATAAGCTTCGATGAGTTTGTTTTTTTGCTTTTTGCGTATAATTTTCTTTTTTTTGTCCAATACTAAAATGGCATTTAGTTGATCCACAGAATCGTCATTATCTTTTTTAAGAGCTCGATTTCGCACTGAAAACCCACCGATACCCAATTTCTGCAGATTTCGCTGACGCTTTTTGCGTAAAATTTGGACACCATCATCATTCGTAGATATAGAAAATCCATCGGGTAACACAGTTTCTGTTCTATCCCAAATCATTCCATCTTTGTATTTATCGCCTTGTACATCATCGGACACAACTGTTTCATTTTGTGCATCCTTATTCGAATTAGAAGTAGGTTGACGCATTTTTCTCTTACGTTTAATTTCAGTTGAAAGCGATTTAATCATGTTCAAACCATTTTCACTTAAGCACACACCGTCGATCCAATGAATTGCTTCTGTGCTCTCTAATAATTCGTTAGTCAACCGAATATTGCGGTCCGAGACATTAATAGTCTTTCCCCCTTGGCCCACCTCCGGTAACAGCTTCGATGTTGTCAATAAATCTTCATTAAAAGGTGTTGCATTCATTTGCGATATCGCCTTCGAACTGGAACGACATTTCATACACTTGTAGACATTATTGTCGTAATACTCCATTGAGTACTGAGTGTTTATTGAGTCGCAAAGAAAATGCGACCATTGTTCACATTGCTCACATTGAATAATCATCTCCCCATCAATGTAGGCTTTTCTACATAAGGGACAGCTATTTTGGCTAGCGCAGGGCAAACATTCTGGCACACTCGCGTCACTGTTCTTAATTTTTTCGGTTGGATTTCGACCGCATTTCTGGCATATGGTACAAAAAGAACATTTCCAATTTCCATGTGGAACCGTCTCTAGAGGCGGCTTAACACAGTATATGTGGTACGAAATATCACATTCATCACATAGAAGCAAACGGGCCTCGTCGTTTTTCTTTCCACAACCTTCGCAGACAGTACAGTCTAAGCAGCGCCATCCCTTTTGCAGAATACCCCTGGAGTGTTTAACACTGGCGCAGTACGGGTGATAGCATTGGCCACATTGTGCGCACGTGATCAAAACCGAGTCGCTTTCAATTCCCAATGTTCCGCACATTACACAAATGTCTTGCGAGAGTACAAATTTATCACGAGCCGAGCACAACAGCATTTTCTTGTCACTGGAAAGGTCTGTATCCAAATTACGGCTTATGTAACGATCACTTGAGCCTGTTTGAAGAACAAGTTGACGTCCCTTGCCCCGATTGCTACGCTTTCTTCCTAACTGTGACATTGATCCTAATCGGTGTAACACAAACTTACCTCCTTTGCCACGAATGTTAGTTAAGCAAACTTTTTTTTTAGTGCTTGGCAACTTCAGAGGATCTTCGCTGTTCCCTTCGATACATGTTCTTCCATTTATTGATTCAATTTCCACATGTTTAATATTAAACTGCTCAGCGTTTTGCATATCTGTTATGGATCGTTCGAGCGGGTCAACTGCTTTATGTTGGGTAGCAGATGAGTTTGTTTTGCAAATAGGGCAGACATAATCATAGTCAGGGTTATATTCTTTTTTTTTGTGATAGGCAGTCAAATCAGCTTCCTCATCACATGTGCTATGAACAAATCTAAGATACCAAAATGTCAAAAGATTAAAAAAACGAACGACTTTCTTAATTTTCACTACTTACTTGTGACACCAGCTGCATTTGACCATTTCCTTATAAGCTGCAGCTCTATATGCCTTTTGGCAAATTGGACATGAAAATCCTTTGTTCCTTTGTTGATAGCATGAGTCGCAAATTGTATAGTGACTGTGCCATCGAGATGAGCTACCACCACCTGGTGTTCGAGACCCACAATCTGTGCAAACACGACATCGCTGAAAATAATTGTATTAAGTAATAGAGTGAAATATGTAATGTATATATATAATCGGTCCTGGCTGACTATTCATCAACGCTCAGTTCGAAATAAGAGATGGGGTCGAAAATGATTTTGATGCCGATCGGATGGTAAACAAAAATGTTTCATACAACATTTTTTTTTTTGGGATTTTTCTAACTAAAGTAAAAAAACTTTTTAGCTCTTATGCTTTGGGATGTGCGTTGATAGCCAATAAGTCAGTCAGGACAAAGTTGAATATAGAGAGATATATGAAATACAAGGTCTCTCTGAAGCTTGCTTCATGAAACTTGATACAGAATCTTCTCTTTACTGCAGCACTTAATTGCGGCTGTATCACTTGGATTGGCGAACTATGTTATATGTATATGTAGCTATGAAAATCAGTTGAGTTTTGACCGATACATATACATATATACGTATATTTCTAAACACCGTTCGCAGCTTCTGTTGCCAAGTCTTTGAAGTATACATATAGTTATTTATATATATATATACATATATATAGCGGAGGATATATCTATAGGCCGCTTTCCTCGAACCTGGGTTTTTGTGGTTGTGTGTGTGTGTGCGTGCATGTGTGTGTGTGTGTGTGTGTTAGTGTATGCGTGCATGTATGTATGCATTTATGTATGTATGTATGTATGCATGTTTGTTTTCTAATACCAAGCGCAGGCCAAGCTCAGTTGTCGCTTGCTGCAAATTTAAATAAAACGAATTTCTACCAAGTGCTCTACTCCTCGATTCTCAAGAATTCAAGTAGGCTCTGCAGTTTTGCATGTTTAGCTAGTAGTGCAGTGCCTTTTTTTGGTGTTTTTTTAATTGTATGTATGTACATATGTATGTATTTATGTATGTACACATGTATACATGTATGTATGTACATATGTATGTATGTACATATGTACGTATGTATGTATATGCAAATGTATGTATGCATGATGTATGTATGCATGTATGTATGTACATATGTATGTATGTATGTGCATATGTATGTACATATGTATGTACATATGTATGTACACATGTATATATGTATGTACGCATGTATGTATGTGTGTATATATGTATGTACGCATGTATGTATGTGTGTATATATGTATGTGCATGCATACTTGTATGTGTGTGTGCATTCATGTATGTATGTGCATGCATACATATATGTATGTATACACAATATTTCCACACATGCGAGTGGAATTTCCCGAAACGCCGTCTTAACGTGCACCTTTATCACATAAGGTAACTACAGTGAACATTTTAGCTTCCTAGCACTTTTTCTTGGGCTGTGCGTTGAGCTCTAATCAGTTAGTCAGTCAGGACAAAGAGTTTTATATATAGAGATATAATCAACTTACATTACATTTCCAGCCATATTTAGGTATCGAAGATATTGTAGGCCGTAAGCACATTGCGTGATACATTTTTTGGCACTGTTCACACTTGATGAATTTGATATCATTAGTTTCATGTTGTCTACAAATCTGGCATTTTGTACAGCGCGCACAGCTCCAACCAGATCGCGTATCTAATAAATAATATAAAAAAATATTATTAGGCGTTTATTATCATGCCATTTTCGGCAAAATAAAGCAAGAAAGATTGCTCTTGTCGGGAATGCCCGACTAGGAGTTTACCCCCTCCCAAGAATTCTAGCTACTTTCTATACAAACGCTTTATGCGCAAAATACGGTGCGACTTCTTTCCTTAGCAGTAAACTTTATTGTCCGATCTTTATGGAATTTCAAGATCATAAATATGACGGATCTTTATACAAAATTTGGTGTCTACTTTTTATAAGCTACGATATACACTGACAAACTGAAAAATTATGCTTTTGCAAATACAGTATTTGCCGGTGGGTGAACATACGTTCGTAGCTTATAATTCTTAATAAATATGAGATTTGCAGCGAGTAAAAGGCCTGGCAATATAGAGTCGTAGCAAGTTCTGCTGTTAATGGAACCGAGAGGATTTTGAACAGATTTTCATATGCCAGAAATTAATTTGATTTCTAAAATTTCTATCACTTGACCCAGCCTAAGCTGAAAATGACTATCTAGAGTTATAAATAAGCATATTTACCAGGTAAATTTGCCAATCCAATGCAAGTAGAATGAAAATGATCTCCACATGAACAGCACATTATTAGTTTTGACAGATCGCCCAATGACGAACACGTTAGACACTCGACATTGTTATCAGTACCTAGAATAAAATGGTTTAAATATTTTTTGAAAATTTATATTAGCTTATCGACTTACAAATGATTGGAACCTGACTTAAATGTTCCGTACAGAATACAGTGAAGCTCTCCAAGATAAGTAGGCAACCAGCTGCAGAAGAGCACGGCCAATGATGTACTTGCCGGCAGTTCATCTTGCAAGTAATGGACGCGCCGTATTGTCCACAGAAACTGCATTTCTGTTCTAAATAACTAGATAAATGGCTTATAAACTGAACAACATCAGGATCCTTTATATGAATTTTACGCAATGTCCACATTACACACATGCGATGAACATAAACAAATTCGTCATCGAAGAACACCGACGTATTTACAATGTCTGCGTAGCCAATTTTGTCCAATTCGTAGGTGCTCTCGCTGTTGGCAGCACTTTTATTTTTCAGCCCGCACTTGAATTTACGCAAACTGTCCTGATCCTTTTCAGTTTCATTGGGTTTTCTTTCCTTACAACTAGAAGGCACTTTAAGTTGAATCAGTGTCCCTTGGCCAAGCGCACTTCGCTCCCCAAGATTACAGAGACAACAAACTTTCCCGGGAAAGTTTTCGGGAAAGTATGGAAGATCATCAAAACCTGTCACAACAGATTTATCTTCTATATTTCCTAACATGTTTAAGCTCATATTATATTAACAAAAATTAAAACACCACAGATACAAACTAGTGATGTGCAATATAACCCAGAGTTATCGATAGTTGTAATCAAATTTTGTTGTCAAAATTATCATCGCACAACAAACATAATCTGCTTATTCATTTTTGTTTCAGCTGCAATATACAATTTTTAGCTTTTGAAGATAGAAAAAACTTAATATTATAAGTTTCTCGCATTTTTTCCCTTCAAAAATAAATGCATTCTAAAATTGATTTTATAAAATATTTTTAAATTATAAGAACTTCAAATGCGAAAAACTTACTACGTCCGCATTTTAGAATTATATAATATATTCAATATTATTAGAAGGGCGCAGTCACCTAAGGAATGAAAACGAATTCAGATTCATCAGCTTTTAAGCTGATTTTGTTAAGTTGCGAAATATTGCCATAAAATATATTACGATATCTGGCAAAAGTTATCGGTATTTTAATATGTTTCCAACGGTCCTAGTGCAATTCTCCAAAAACTTGTATTAAACGTCACTTAAAGGCATTAGCAGCACATACACAATAAGAACTCATGAATGTATGTGTGTGTAGATGTATAGATAAATTCTTGTTTTGTTGAATAACTTTTGTGTTTCTCAACCGATCTTAATGAAATTTTCAACTGAAGATCATATTGTGCCATAGAATATTCGTATATTCAAAAAGACAATTGCATAAAAATTCAGGCTTAAATGAGTGGGCAATACCAATTGGTTTATTTACTTTATTTATAGCATAAAAAAAAGATACTTAATATATATATACTATACTACTTATTTTAAACTGCATATTAAGTTTGGTGACGTTAGTTCTTATAACTTACGAGATTTGCAGATTTCGATATCGCTTTTTATGGTATGATTGGAAACGCAGCAAGTTATCGGTTATTGGAAATAAAGTCCTACTGGGCGGTCACTAGGAGGACCTACGTTCAAAATTTAAGTCTCAAGCTCTCAAAGGTTCTGAGATGCATAAAGGCCGTCAAGCCTCAAGGAGCAATCAATATGATTGGTTCGCATTTTTTACTGCCTGTCCCATATATGTCCAAATTCAAAACAGTAGTTTTCAGGCATATGTACATTTATAATTTTCATAACATCCATAAAATATGCTTTACTAGGTTTAGATATACTATTTATGAAAAATTTATTATAATGTATAAAAATCAAATATTTTAATAGGTAGATTTTTTTGAGACTACAACAATAAGATCAATCAGCCAATAGAATGATTGTCGAAGATCACCTTCGCATAAATACGGGGCCTTTGTCCAGGACTCGACGCGAAACCCACAATTTTCTAGTAATTCCAAGAACATTGTTGCTTCTTCTTCAAACGACAACTCACGGCCATTCCTTTTGGAATTATCCATTAGTGGCCGCAATGGTAAATGCGATGTATTTGTCTCTACATAGTGCATGTATGGAAGCACTAGCGCAATAACAGCTCGACCTGCCGGAGCTAATGCTTTATGTATATCTGCTAATAGTTTAAAAGGATCGTAGCATCGGTCTAGCACATTAAGGCAAGAAATTAAATCTACACTATGTAGGACACTTATTTCGGTAACTAGGTTAAAATTAAGTTTCTTAAGTCTCTCTCGCATGGTCCAACTAGCTTCAGTGGCAAACAATTGCAACACAGCATTCTTGCTAAGCTCGGCCACGCTGTTTGCCACGCGCAGCGAAACTTCACCGTCGCCAGCTCCGATATCTAGAAGCGTTATCTAAACAAGATAATTAATGTTATTCTTATTTGTATATATAATTCACCAGGCAAACTTACCGTTTCAGTGAAAGATTTGGGTAAAAAGCCACCCGACTCCAGAAGTTTACAGAATTGTTCCTCTGACAAAATAAACATGGAACCACGTTTTAAAAGTCCGTTGATATCCGTCTGAGTCATAAATATCTGCAAAACAGACCTGGCCAATGCATGCCACAAATGCAGCCAAATGTTTGAAGACAGCATTTTTGCCCGTTCCAGCCATCTTATTGTTGTTGTGTCGGGCTGCTTAAGGCCAACAAATTTCGACTGGAATCTTTGAGGTAATTCGCAATTCAAAGAGTACCACTGTAATATAAATATATATTTAAGTATATACATACATATGTTGATGGTATATGTTTACATATGTTTAAATCACTTTACGAATGTGTTTATCTATTAATATTTACCTGTTGGGTATCTAAGTTCTCCAAAAAGTTGTCATTATGGAATTTGGCGTATATAACACGTGCCAAGGTGCCTCTGGGTCGATAAAGGGCCATTGTAAACTATGTATACTTTTGCATACATGCATTGTACAATGTGCACGAATTTTGTGTATGTTAATTACATACTCTCCTCTCCGAACAGCCCATATATTAATGACAATACAGTTCCTTAATCTAAAAGTTATGTACACACGCGTGTATATTTATATAATGTAATAAACGCTTTAACACAAGACCGCAAGATAGTTAATTTTGGCAATTTAGTTTATATCTGCTCAACAATGCTGAATCAACATTGAGCTACATAATAATTGATAACACTTTTGAAAGTATCGACTGGGAAAACGGGAGGGCTGCTATCGATGTCACTTTACTACAATCGATACATTTTATTTTGCACATCTCAATCGCCTGTTTTCACCCGGAAGCAACATTTAACATCTTCTGGCAAGATGTTGAATGAGGTTTTGCCTTGCCAACATCTAATTTATTTAAACATCCCTGAGAGATGTTGCCATCCCACCCAATATTAGCCGTCCTTTCGCTGTTCTTCCATATCTTTAAATGCGTTATATGAAAGAAGGGTTTTTAAAAATATTTTATTTTTATTTTTCCTTTTTTACTCTTACAAACATTTCGATAGTCTTTCTGACAACGTATACGAAAAAGAATAGTTTTTGACAGTTTGTCGGCTCGAAAATAAAGCTGAGGGTATTAAACCTTTATTTTAACCGGTTATAAAACCAAAGTAAAAGTTATTAATGCTTACCATAAAGTTGTTTTGAGCATTAATGAAGTTTCCGCTACTTCATCTTTGTAAACATCACTCACTTTGTTCATTTTGCAATCGCTTACAAGATTTTTTTTTAACCAGAGCAATTGCTAGAGCAGTAAGTAAATCTGGCAACATTATTCTTGCCCAAAATTCTTTCGAAATCGGTCAAAATTCCCCAACCCCATAACTCGGTCAAATGTCATCCGATTTTCACGAAGTTGCCCTTTTTGTTCATGGTTTAGCCCCTATATTAATTTGGCATTTAAATCTGGCAACATCATTTTGGGTCCAAATTCATGTAAAAATTGTACCCTCAAAAATCCTATATAGACATATAGACTTGGGTCAAAACTTCCCCATCCCATAACTCGGTCAAAACTCAACCGATTTTCATAAAGTTTGGCTTTCTGTTCATGGTTTGGCCCCTTTATTATTTTTGCATTTAACTCTGGCAACATAATTTTGGGTCAAAATTCATGTAAATATTTTACCCTCAAAAATCCTATATGGACATGGGTCGAAACTTCCCCATCCCATAACTCGGTCAAAACTCAACCGATTTTCACGAAGTTGGGCTTTTTGTTCATGGTTTAGACCCTTTATTATTTTGGCATTTAAATCTGGCAACATAATTTTGGGACCAAATTCATGTAAAAATGGTACCCTCAAAAAACCTATATAGACATATAGACTTGGGTCAAAACTTCCCAATCCCATATCTCGGTCAAAACTCAACCGATTTTCACGAAGTTGGGCTTTTTGTTCATGGTTTGGCCCCCTATATTAATTTGGCATTCAAATATGACAACATAATTTTGGGTCCAAATTCATGCGAATATTGTACCCTCAAATATCCTATATAGACATATAGACTTGGGTCAAAACTTCCCAATCCCATATCTCGGTCAAAACTCAACCGATTTTCACGAAGTTGGGCTTTTTGTTCATGGTTTGGCCCCCTATATTAATTTGGCATTCAAATATGACAACATAATTTTGGGTCCAAATTCATGTAAATATTGTACCCTCAAAAATCCTATATAGACATATAGACTTGGGTCGAAACTTCCCCATCCCATAACTCGGTCAAAACTCAACCGATTTTCACGAAGTTGGGCTTTTTGTTCATGGTTTAGACCCTTTATTATTTTGGCATTTTAATCTGGCAACATAATTTTGGGACCAAATTCATGTAAAAATGGTACCCTCAAATATCCTATATAGACATGGGTAAAAACTTCCCCATGCCATAACTCGGTCAAAACTCAACCGATTTTCACGAAGTTGGGCTTTTTCTTCATGGTTTGGCCCCTTTATTAATTCGGCATTCAAATCTGGCAACATAATTTTGGGTCAAAATTCATGTAAATATTGTATCCTCAAAAATCCTATATAGACATGGGTCGAAACTTCCCCATCCCATAACTCGGTCAAAACTCAACCGATTTTCACGAAGTTGGGCTTTTTGTTCATGGTTTAGACCCTTTATTATTTTGGCATTTAAATCTGGCAACATAATTTTGGGACCAAATTCATGTAAAAATGGTACCCTCAAAAATCCTATATAGACATATAGACTTGGGTCAAAACTTCCCAATCCCATATCTCGGTCAAAACTCAACCGATTTTCACGAAGTTGGGCTTTTTGTTCATTGTTTGGCCCCTTTATTAATTCGGCATTCAAATCTGGCAACATAATTTTGGGTCCAAATTCATGTAAATATTGTACCCTCAAATATCCTATATAGACATGGGTCGAAACTTCCCCATCCCATAACTCGGTCAAAACTCAACCGATTTTCACGAAGTTGGGCTTTTTCTTCATGGTTTAGACCCTTTATTATTTTGGCATTTAAATCTGGCAACATAATTTTGGGTCCAAATTCATGTATAAATGGTACCCTCAAATATGCTATATAGACATATAGACTTGGGTCGAAACTTCCCCATCCCATAACTCGGTCAAAACTCAACCGATTTTCACGAAGTTGGACTTTTTGTTCATGGTTTGGCCCCTTTATACATTTGGCATTTAAGTCTGGCAACATAATTTTGGGTCCAAAGTCATGCGAATATTGTACCCTCAAATATCTTATATAGACTTGGGTCAAAACTTCCCCATCCCATAACTCGGTCAAAACTCAACCGATTTTCACGAAGTTGGGCTTTTTCTTCATGGTTTGGCCCCTTTATTAATTCGGCATTCAAATCTGGCAACATAATTTTGGGTCCAAATTCATGTAAATATTGTACCCTCAAATATCCTGTAGAGACATGGGTCGAAACTCCCTATCCCATAACTCGGTCAAAACTCAACCGATTTTCACGAAGTTGGGCTTTTTGTTCATGGTTTAGACCCTTTATTATTTTGGCATTTTAATCTGGCAACATAATTTTGGGACCAAATTCATGTAAAAATGGTACCCTCAAATATCCTATATAGACATGGGTCAAAACTTCCCCATGCCATAACTCGGTCAAAACTCAACCGATTTTCACGAAGTTGGGCTTTTTGTTCATGGTTTGGCCCCTTTATTAATGTGGCATTCAAATATGGCAACATAATTTTGGGTCAAAATTCATGTAAATATTGTATCCTCAAAAATCCTATATAGACATGGGTCGAAACTTCCCCATCCCATAACTCGGTCAAAACTCAACCGATTTTCACGAAGTTGGGCTTTTTGTTCATGGTTTAGACCCTTTATTATTTTGGCATTTAAATCTGGCAACATAATTTTCGGTCCAAATTCATGTATAAATGGTACCCTCAAATATCCTATATAGACATATAGACTTGGGTCGAAACTTCCCCATCCCATAACTCGGTCAAAACTCAACCGATTTTCACGAAGTTGGACTTTTTGTTCATGGTTTAGACCCTTTATTATTTTGGCATTTTAATCTGGCAACATAATTTTGGGTCCAAAGTCATGCGAATATTGTACCCTCAAATATCTTATATAGACTTGGGTCAAAACTTCCCCATCCCATAACTCGGTCAAAACTCAACCGATTTTCACGAAGTTGGGCTTTTTCTTCATGGTTTGGCCCCTTTATTAATTCGGCATTCAAATATGGCAACATAATTTTGGGTCCAAATTCATGTATAAATGGTTCCCTCAAATATCCTATATAGACATATAGACTTGGGTCGAAACTTCCCTATCCCATAACTCGGTCAAAACTCAACCGATTTTCACGAAGTTGGGCTTTTTGTTCATGGTTTAGACCCTTTATTATTTTGGCATTTTAATCTGGCAACATAATTTTGGGACCAAATTCATGTAAATATTGTACCCTCAAAAATCCTATATAGATATAAACCTTCGTTCATTAAAACCGTGACCCTCATTTCCATCCATTTCCAATTTATCAAAAATAACTGAAAATAATTGTAAAGCCGATCCGATGGTAAGCAAAAAAGTTTTGAGCAACAGCTTTCCGCTAAATTTGCATAGCTGCGGGGGGAATTTCCAAAATCGTTAAATTTGAAGCCGATGGGATGAAAAAAATTGTTCACTCTCATTTCCCATCCAGACCTACATTTTGCAAAAAGTGGAAAAAATGACTCCAACGAATTTTCCTAAAGATCTATGCGAATAAATCTCCTTCCGAAAGATCACCTTTCAACCTAAACTCGCCTTTCAATCTCTGCTCTGCTCCGATCGGATGGCAAACTAAAAGCTTTCATACAACTTTATTCCGCTAATTTATCCCAGTTGCGGACAGAATGTACGAAATCTTTGAAACACGTATTCATTATGTTTTGATGTAGGGCTTTGAAAGTAAATTTAAGTCTGAAATACAAGAAATGAATTGACGATCTTATGGTTTGGGCTAGGCGTTGATCAATCAGTCAGAACAAACAGTTTTATATACAGAAAGTTGGCCTTTCAATTCTTTCAAATACTGTGTGAATAATCAATAATTTTTAATGAAAACTCGGATTTGATTACCTTTGCATATTGTAACTCAAATGGAAAGACGTTGTTTTTTCTAATTTTTCGCCAAAATAATTTTGTTTTTTATTGATATGTTGTGTTTGAGTCAATCAACGAATTTGAACAGCCGTCGATATAGGCTTTATGCAACTTATTGACAAATTCCTTGTCGTTTTGAATAAGGTAAGTAAAGGCCTGTACAAATTGCGCAGAGTTAAGTGGCAAATATGGTTGCTCTGGCTCTGGTTTGACACCGGGGACATCAAACATTGTTGGCGGCATAAGCGCGGGCTTCGCATCAGGCTTATCCCCGACCAGCAGCCTTCTCAGACACTTCTCGGCTTCTGCACTCGCTAGCAAAGCCGATGCTGGTGATTCATCTCTCAGGAAAGAGATTGGCTTTCCAGTATTCCGAGCTATCGACGATGTTGATGCCGTAGGAAATGGTGACAATGGACTTTTTAAGGACCCCATCAATTCGCCGTCTCTTGCCGAAGATTGACAGTGCGCCTCGTTGGGCGTAACAGAACGCTGTTGCTTCTCCAACTGGTCGACTGAAAGAGGCTGTGGCCGATTTAATTGCGCCTCCACTGTAGCCTGCTTTGCAGACTCAAAGAACTTCAATACATTATGGGAAGTCACGTTTTCGGGCTGTGCAGCTGTGGTTGCAGCCTGGGACTGACAATTTAATTGTGCATTGTATTCCTTTTGGGCCTGGCTAAGCATGTTAAATATGCTTGAGTTGCCCGATTTTGCCGAATATGCCAGTAATGATCCAGATTGCTGTCCGTTACTTGACTTATTTAGCAGCAAGCTATTAACCAGGCTACTTATACGATCGCACTCTTCGCTGTTGTAAAACCAAAATCCACGGATACGCGACCGTTCGTTGCGGTATAGCAGAAAAGGTGGCTGCGACTGCAATTCCAAACTGCCGGTGATTGGCTCCACAAATGATGTCGTGTTTAGTCGATTGTTAATAAATATGCTGTGAAATGGCTCGGCATTTCGATGGTAAATAAAAAATGCGCCTTCGACATCAGTTTTCTCCCATTCATTTTGCTCCGAATTAAAAGTGTAAAATGCAACATGTGATGACGAGTCAACAATCTCTTTAGCGTATGGATCAATTTTCTTGATGGCCGACAAATTCATTCGAGTTATGCTCTCGTCCGCCATGCTATAATATTTAAAACTATTATTGTAATCAAAAATTTAACAATCCTATTACAAATGTTGGTGAGGAGCAATATTCGATTTATTTTGAGTAATCGTAAGCACAGTTCACTCTGAAGCTAACAAGAGGTGTAACTAATAAATACTTTTTAAACCGATAACAAATAATATTGAAATTTTTTAATGTTCTCATATAAAGAGCATTTTATAAGTGTTTATTAATTAATTAATAATTTAACTATTTTCAATTTGTCCACATTTGTCTGATATTTAAAAATTATTTGGCCCGTGATTATTGTTTACTATACAATTGATCACCTCTTTTAGAACTAATTAAAATCCGGCAATTTTGTAATATCCTTTTATGAGCAGCGAAAAAGAGTTTTGGTAATAATTGGTTTAAGTTTTACCTTCCTATTTGCATGAACAAGATAGATTACAATGCTTCTGAGGAGATTTGCGAAATGTTTTTAAAGTATTTCATGGTACCTGCGTTTTGATATTGACATTCTATTCACAACACATGCACACTTTAATTGCTATTTGAAAGCTCTACGGAGAAGAATCCCTTTTATATTTCAAGATAAATATTAAAAATAATGCACCAATCAATGAAAGTTGTTAAACAACATATTTAGATTACCTTGCAGACCCCCAGAGGCCATTAAAGCTAACTGTAACTTTTACTTGACGGCAGCACATAGTGTAACATTTTAATTAAGCTTCCCCATAGGTAAAATCTCCAATTGGGTGAGAAGTTTTGCTTTAAAGTTATCGGAATGCAAAGTTATCGGAATCCAGAGTATATATGTTTCTTGTATGCTAACTATTTTTAATTTCATTATTCATTATATTGGGAAGCTATTTAACGTATGTCACATATACTTATTTTGTTAAGTAATCTTTATTATAAAATAATTATCTAAGAATTGCTAAAAGTAGCAAAATGAAACATATTTGTACCATGATATTAAAACGGGCGAGAACGTTGATTTCAACTTTTTGTATTGTTTTTAACCGATTTCAAATTAATTTTCAAGCTTCTATTGTCCTCGGGCGATATGGTCAGCTGAGAAAAATGTATTAAATCTTCAAAAGTTTATAATGTTTTAATATTAAATATAAAATCGTGAGTATATTTTCTCAATTTCATATATTAATTTCCTACAACTTTTATATTTTAATTTATTTTTTTTTTTTTAAATATATACGTTCAGATAATAAGCTTTGATATATGTTCGAAGGATGGGTTAATATAGATCGCAATATGATTTATCAATTATTTCGTGACTCTAAGGGACTGCCCATATCAAAATTATATTAGGACTCGATTAAAGACAAATTCCTGTTTATGTTATCGATATTCCAACGAAAAAAGGCGCGATCGTAAATATTATATTTTTATTTGTTTATGAACAAAAGTTTTGATAAATTAGTGTTAGCATGCAAAAGTCGATAACGTAAATATGAATACACAAAATGAACCTGATATTGTTTTTAAGCACATTGTCTTGTTTTTAAATGTAGCTCATTTTTTAAACCGAAAGATGACCTCCCAGGCCCAGAAAAAGCGAGCGACCCAGAGTAAGTGTTTGCAAGTACAAATTAATATTAACATATAATTCATTTAACTATTATTACTAACAGAAAGGCCAAAAGAACACACCCAGAGAATATATCTAAGAACGTTAAATCTGAAGTCGCTAAAGAAGAGCCGGGAAATGAAGAAAAACTGCCGGCATTGGGATCGACGGAGGCAGACAAGCCCACGGACATGCCGCCCAGTAAGATCACAAAGATGGAATTGAATTCAGAGATAACTGAAGGTGAAGGGACTGAAATCTACGACCCGTCTTTGGAATCCTATCATCCCTTAAAGCACGCCTATTGGAGAGAAGAACGCGTGTAAGTATTACTGAAATAAAAATGTCAAAATGTCTCAATCTATGGATTTAAATTTGGGTCCCAATAAAGTACGTTCTGTTAAGAGCAGACTAATACATGCCCACATTTTATTTGAGCTCCGTGAGGCCTTGCATTTATTAAACCATGTTTAATTATATCTCTTTTAAGGACACCTTACTTGGCCTTGGCTCGAACGTTTCAAGTTATTGAGGAGACTTCGGGGCGAATAAAAATGATTGACATATTGAGCAACTTTTTTTGCTCGGTTATGTTGGTTAGTCCGGAAGACTTGGTGCCGTGCGTCTACCTTAGCATCAATCAGCTGGCCCCCGCCTATGAGGGACTGGAACTTGGCGTCGCCGAAACCACGCTCATGAAAGCAATTTGCAAAGCAACAGGCCGAAACCTAGCACACATTAAGTCGCAAACACATTTAACTGGCGATCTGGGCATTGTGGCGGAACAGTCGCGTGTATCGCAGCGCATGATGTTTCGCCCAAAGCATTTGAATGTGCGCGGCGTTTTCGCCAAGCTAAAAGAGATTGCAAAAATTTCAGGGCAAGCCAAAATGACACTGGTCTATGATGTCTTTGTTGCCTGCCGATTGTCTGAGGCACGTTTTTTTATTCGGTCCTTGATTGGTAAATTGCGTATTGGCATTGCCGAACAGAGCTTACTAACTGCTCTGGCAATTGCTCTGGTTAAAAAAAATCATATAGACGATTGCAAAACGAACAAAGTGTGTGATGTTTACAAAGATGAAATAACGGAGACCACATTAATGCTCAAAACAACATTTAGGTAAGCTCTAAGCTATGTTGCTAAGCTGCTGCCTAACTCTTACAGGTTGGACTGTGCGTTGATCACCAATCAGTCAGGCAGTCAGGACAAACAGTTTTATATATAGCGATATATATATATTTATATAATTATTTATTGTTTTGCTATATAACTGGTGTACAAAGATTGCTTTATCATTCTCTTTAAACTTTTTCAGCCAATGTCCAAACTATGACATCATCATACCAGCAATATTGAAATATGATATTAAGGAGCTTCAAGAGCGTTGCCCGATGCATCCTGGAATGCCGCTTAGACCCATGTTGGCGCAACCGACTAAAGGCGTTCTTGAAGTTTTGGAACGCTTTAGTGGAATGCATATTACTTGTGAATGGAAGTATGATGGTGAACGGGCACAAATTCATTTAAATGAACTTGGTGAAATTTCAATTTTCTCGCGCAATTCGGAAAACAATACGCCGAAATATCCTGATGTTATTGCAAGAAGCAAGTCATTTCTTAAAACTGATGTTCAGTCGTATATAATTGATAGTGAAATTGTCGCATGGGATATAGAACGCAAGCAAATCCTTCCATTTCAAATACTTAGTACACGTAAGAGGAAAAATGTTGATATCGATGATATTAAGGTTCAAGTGTGCGTGTACATTTTTGATCTTCTGTATATTAACGGAGATTCCCTTGTCACAAAGCCGCTTTCCTTACGTCGAAAGATGTTATTTGAACATTTTCAAGAAGTGGAAGGTGAATGGAAATTCGCCACAGCCCTTGACACAAATGATATGGATGAAGTGCAACAGTTCTTAGAAGAATCAATCAAAGGCAAGTATACATTAAGATTTCGCTAATTTATTTTTCAGTTTTTATATACAATTCTCTAACATTGGTAATATCTTCAAGCAATCGAAAAGATAACCACAGTGAAATATCGATTCTTGTGGGTTTGGAGTGAACGAGGCTCATTATTAAAAAAAAATTCTCTAATATGTTTTTGGTCCTTTAAAACTTATATTTCATAATTATATTCATACTTTTTAGGTAACTGTGAGGGTCTTATGGTAAAAACTTTGGAGGAAGAAGCAACTTATGAAATTGCAAAAAGATCAAGAAATTGGCTTAAATTGAAAAAAGACTATCTGTCAAATGTTGGAGATTCACTCGATCTTGTCGTTATCGGTGGCTACAAAGGCAAAGGGCGCCGTACTGGCACCTACGGTGGCTTTTTGCTAGCTTGCTATGACACGGAAAATGAAGAATACCAAAGCATTTGCAAGATTGGAACAGGTATTTAATTTACATATTTATTGATTACTTTTATTGAATTGAATATTTATACTTGAAGGTTTTACCGATGATGATTTACGGGAGCACTCGGAATTTTTCAATAAGCATGTAATTGGCAGTGCCAAATCATATTTCAGATATGACCCCAGCTTGGAGCCGGATGTTTGGTTTGAACCTGTTCAAGTTTGGGAGGTTAAATGTGCAGATCTATCGCTTAGTCCGATTCATAGAGCGTCTATAGGAATTGTTGATGCTGAACGTGGCATTTCACTACGTTTTCCTCGCTTCATACGCATTCGTGATGACAAGAGTCCTGAAAATGCAACCGACGCTAATCAAGTGGCCCATTTGTACAAATCACAGGATCAAGTTAGAAACAATCAGAAGTCCAGCAGTCTTATGGATATTGAGAGTGATTTTTATTAATAAAACAGTAAGCGCATAACTAGAAATAACATTTAAATCATTTAATTTAGTTATTTAAATATAGAATGGGCACTGGTGCTGCTTTCCGAAGATTTTGATTCACGCCGTGCATGCTCAAAATTGTCTTTATTTTCCTGAAATTTGTGCTTATTGCGTCTACCAAACCTTTTGTTCTTGGGCGTCTCGTCTGTCACAAAAGTATCGCCTTCGGAAGCTAATAAAGGAGGTTCTGTTACACGATTTGGGTCTTTACAACCACTTGGAGAATTATCTTCTGATCGCAAACTGGTTCTAACCTTGGGCTGGTATATGGCAATTGATGGGCGATCCTGTTAGAGAAGATAAATAATATTGACTTTATCATAATCATCCATAATTATCTATGTGAAAAACGAACCTTATTTCTTATTCGACGTTCTTCTGCTGCACGTGCATTATTAGCTTTACATGTATCATGTGGCATACCAATTTCTTCACTAGTTAACGGGCTGTTCAGTTCAGAGAGGGTTGGCACTGATTTACCAGTTTCTTTCGAATTTAAATATTTCTCTGCAGGCTCATTGCTATTTTTAGGTTTTGCTAGCACTTCACTGGACACATCTACTGAAGTGGCTGTGCATGTGTTCGAGTCAGCTAAATTAGTCTCAGCTATAGATTTTTTCTTTAAAATGACAATTTCTTTCTTTGAATTTGAATTTTTTGTGGGTTTTTGGCTCATATCTTTGTCATGGCGGTCATTTTTTTTTTATCGCGGATTTCGCGGTCGCGCACCAACTTTCGTTGTTCGTGTTCTTCTCGCCGACGTTGGTCGCGTTCAGTCCGCCGCTTGGAGCGTGCGTTTTTCGATGTATCTTCTGGCAATTGACTGTCTTTGTTAAATCCTTTTTTGGCATTACTATTAAGAGACTTTTTACTTTCGTTTCCAGTATCCTTCATTTTAATATTTTCCGGTTGCTCTGTCGACCTTTGTAATTTTTGCTCTTCACGGTGCTTTCGTTTTTCCTCGTTTCGCTTTCGGGCTTCTTCGCGACGCTTTTCTTTTTTGTTTGCCAAGTATTGAAGCAGTGGAGTAGATTTTACCTTCTCATCTCCTCGATTTTCAAACGTAAAATCAATCTTTATATCTCCTAAACGATTTGCCTCCTCGCGTTCGTCAGCTAACTTTTGAAGAAATTCTTGATAGTGCGGTTCCTTCTCAATAGTGTTGACTTTGTTGTCGTGACTCCGCGCTTTGTTCTTCAAAAAGCATTGAAACGGGGCATACTCCACAATAGCAACATATTCTGCACCCTTTGAGTCGACAAAAACATATCCATCAAACCGGTCGCGAAACTGCAGAACTTCGGTAATATCCTTAAGAGACATATCAATGTAAGCACGGCATGTGGCTTCTAGTCCGAGGGACCAGTCAGCAGGGCAATAGTAGTACGAATCGTTATCCGGCAATGGATCCACTTGTTCTAAAAACTCCTGTTCGGTCATTGTCGGTGGCAAATGACGGACCACAATCTAAGTTAGTGTTCAACATTTTAGTAATTGAAATTTAAATATTTAACTATTGTGTACCTTGATTGACTGGTTTGACTTATCCTTCTTATCCCGACGTTTATTTACTCGCTGCTTTTCCATGTTAAAACGAATTTATTGTTTATTAATCTCACGCCGCACAAAACGAAGTTAAAAACACCACATACTCGATAAAATATTCTAAAACACACTTATCGATAAATAAACTTAGCGTCGTAAAACACCATTGGAACAGTGAAATGAAACATTAACATGTAAAAATAAGTGTATAAACACTTGCAGTTGGACTTCTGGAGAACAATTTAAACAAACACTTCCTCTAAATCGATTCAGGTACGTTTTTCAACCTCGTTCTTCACTTATGCTAAGCTCCCGCACATATAGGTATTCTAAAATGCTTAAATTATTTATTTTCTTGAAAACATTAATGTTTTTTTTTTACTTTTGGGAAACAATGGAATTAAACCAAGATTCATCTTCCTATTTTCCAAACACTTCTTATGCTAAATCGATTCAGGTACGTTTCTTAACCTCATGCTGCCATTATGCTAAGCTCCCGCACATATTATGTATTCTAAAATGCTCATTTTTTGTTTTTGAAAACACTCATATTAAATTAAACATTTTATTATTTATTTAAGATTTATTCATAAGAGGTTTGATGCACAATACAGTGAAACAATAATGTCGACGTACAGCGATTAAAATATTCTTTGGTAAAGAAAAAAAACTAACTAGCAGTAAGTATTAATGCAGTTTTCTTTATTTATAATTAAACTTTATTTAACAAAATAAAATTTTTCAAGAAGTTATAAGTAAAGAACAATAAAAAAAAAAAATTATACTATTATATCGAGTATTAAGTAGATAGGATAAAGAGATAGTGAAGGGAAATCTCCGACGGTGGGGGAAATTTATGGTCTGTCCGGCAAGTTTGCTCTACTAATAGCTGGGAATGGTCAGTGAGTTTCCGAACGTATTCTGAAAGCAAAAATTTTATAAGGGAGAGAGAAAGTTAGGTGGAAAACACTTTGCATAATACACCAAAAGAGTTGCGCATAGCATAATCCCTTGTGCACGTAGGTAGGAAAAGGGGCGATAATTCCTGGTAGGTCTGGACAGCGCAGACAGTTGAAGGCTCCCTAACAGAAAAGAAGAATTGTTGTCCACAACAATCAATTTATTTAGGAAGACATCACCGAGGATTGTCCCACGGTTGGTTAACGACGGAAGATAAAGAAGAGGAAGCCTTGTGGAGTATGATGACAACCGAAGATGGGGGTCCCAATTTAAATCTCGTAAGGCAAAAAGCAGAGAACTGACTCAATACGATCCTGACTATTATCACTAACCATACAATAAATAGATACGTCAAACAGAAAAATAATCGAAACACGATAAATTGATGTGAGTAAACCCCATGACTGCTTGCTTGTGGCTGCCGAACGCCGGACTCGAAAGCCGAACGCTCAGTATGAAGCCGAATCTCGCTCAGCGGGCAACAAATGTGTGTTTGCATGTGCAGAGGCGCTTCGCTCTCACTCATTGCTTTTCGCACTTGTGTGTATCTCATTCTTCCTGCATAGCTTATAGCTTTTAAAGAAACCCCGCGATCTACAAATATACATATGTTTATGTTTTGCGGATGTGCGCACAAGTAGATCACGGCGTTTGTCGCCGGGTTGGGTTGGCGCTGCCTTCGGCTTTTTAGTAGACCCTTTCATGTTTTTTTTTCGTCCAGTGAGGCAAGATGAGAAGAATCAGATTTAATTTTTCATAATAACAACTATTTATATTTTATATTATAATTTTTTTTGTTTACTGCGGGGATATAGGACTATTTAGCTTAATATAAAAAAGTCGTATTTCTGCAAGGATAGTTCATGGTCGGCTTGTCCAAAAATTCTGAAAAAAGACCAAAAATTGATTTTCTGGGATGTCACACACACATACAAATGTGTGTGAATGAGCAGCTGATTTTATGATTTCGGGCTTAGATATTCTGATTCCTCCAAAACAGGGAAACCATTTTAAGGGAATACATTTTGTAGACCATGTTTATGCCCTGAAAAGTGGCGAAGCAGAGCTGCAGACGGAGTACGATTACGTACAGCCTCAGTTGAGTGTATCTGCTAGTCGGGGAGAATACAGAAATTTTACTTGTTGCTTGTTTTTTTCAGTGTAAATAACACACCAAGGACTTTTATTGTGCCTGGTAAATGCGAACCCAAACTTAATTAGCATAGTTCTGATATATTTATCATATAAATTGAGTTTGCTTTGAAGGCTATTGAACATCTTCCAGACCTATATCTGGATGAGCGTAAATTCCGTAGATATATAGATTATCTTTATTCACAATTTGTATATCTTATATTTTCTGGAATGGACGCATTTGTTATGACATTAATGAAGAATATGAATACTTTAGTGGAATCCTGTGAAAATATTTGCAGGTCTCAAGAAATTTGTATTTTATAAAATCGAAGGAAAATTATCTATAATTACATTTCCTAGATACTTCAGCTGACTTTTGTAATCAAGCACTTTCTTTATGGTCATTGTTTTTGTGACGTGTGTGGTGTAATTTGAAACATTTCCACCCCCAAAACAATGTGAGCTATTTGGCACCGCCTCCAAACACGTAGCACGACATTTTTTCTCTCTTTCGTTTTATGCATCCTTAGTGTCCTTTTTTATCTAAAGGATGATGTTAAGACAATCGTAACAGTAATTTTTTATTTAAGCAGAGTTAAAACTCGTATTTTGTGAGTGGTTTCAAATTTAGTTATTTTATTATTATGTGATTGTTACAGCGAAATGATTATCTAATAAGTGTCGAGCTCTTTTTATTGTGCCAAAAAGTGATTGATTATATGCAATGGAATTTTCATTTCTAAGCAAAACAAGCTATGATAAAGATTGTATATATAATTCAAATTCACAATTGCACAATTCGAATGCGAATCCCCGAATTTCTGTGCCAAATCACATGGCCCATTATAATTTAATAATTGACTCAAGCTATAAGTTACGGGCCAATGAGGCCGCAATAAGAAATTCATTAAATCAAGAATCCAATATACTTTTTTCAAAAATAACGAATGTTGCCGATCTTTATCCTGGAACTCACAACATTGCGTCCTATAATTCCGGTAAGTCTTAAATTTAGCAAAAATATAAGTTAAGTTCTGAAGATTCTATACAATCCCAAGTGGAGTTAAATTTTGATCAACTGATAATTCTTCAAGTAGAGTAAATTTGGGGACAAATTATATTAGTTAAATACAATTATTGTCTCTTCCTCATCCTGACATGGTTTTTGGCCGCGAATTCGCACTGTACTTAGAAACGCAAATGACAACAATTTTGCCTCACTCGAGGCGTTCTCTAAGACTGGGGATGCACAAAAATGTTATTTCTCTGTTTGACCGACCTCCTCCCTCACTTAGATGGTCAATAACAATTCGCAGGGATGATTAGTGGCTAGCACTTTCCGTTTCTGGCAAATCTTCAGCTCTACAGAAACAAAGTGCACTCTCGCTTAATAGATAAAGGGATATACCAGCATTAACAAAGATAATTTTCAAAAAAACGAGAAAGAAGAGCTATCTTCGGCACGCCGAAGATTTAATATCCTTGCAGAACCAACCTTTTCATAATGCTCAGGGTGCTTTGTCTGTAAATAAGAAGCACAGGGAAACTAGTAAATGCCAAGTTTGGTCAAGATATCTAGAAAAGCAAAACAGTTTTCCATACAATAACTTAATGTTGGTCCGATCGTTCCTATGGCGGCTACATGATATAGTGGTCCGATGTTGATAGGATGTTGCATTTATATGGGAAGCATAGTACAACTAATAAATTCCGAGTTTGGTGAAAATATCTTGATAAAAAAAAAGTTTTTCATATAAGAACCTCATTTTCGATCGATCGTTCCAATAGCAGCTAAATGATATAGTGGTCCGATCCAGCCGGTTTCGACGTATATACTGCGTGCAACAGAAAGAGGCACTTCCGCAAAGTTTGATGACGATAGCTTTAAAACTGAGGGACTTGTTCGCATAGAAACAGACGGACATGGCTATATTGACTCGGCTGTTGATATTGTTCAAGAATATATATACTTTATGGGTTCGGAGATGCTTCCATCTGCCTGTTACATACATTCACGCTACGAGCTCATTTGCTTTAGCAGTAATATATAAAAAACATGTAAAAGGCTCTAGTCGGGAGCTCCCGAGTTGGGGATACCCTGAATTCTCTTCTACCATCACCAAATAAAGCTCGCGAATACGTACAACCTCGTTTGTCTCAGCAGTAATAAAAATAAATTAAAAAAAAAATAGTTTTCTCGATAGGACTCGAACTCGTAACAGACCACACTACTTGCCGCCGCCTCTACCCCACAACCAAACTAACAATTGAGTCTCAGCGAGAAAAAACGGATTAAAATAGCAGCACAGAAAACAATACAATCGCAATTGCAAAGCTGTAGATAGAATTCAATACAGATGTGTGTGAATGTGTGTGTGTAATTGTATACAGAAATTCTTGCAATTTGCGCTAGCTGCCGCGAACACAAAGTCAGCCAAATCACGTTTTCCTTAATAACTTCTGTGTTTCTTAACCGATCTTGATGAAATTTTCAACAGTAGATCTTTTTGTACTATAAAATATTTTTATATTCTCAAAAAGTCAATTGCTTTAAAATTGTGGCTTATATTGGTGGGCAATACAAAGCATTATATCCATTTAATCCATTTTCAATGGATTCAGGGTATAAAAATATCATTGAATTAATTATCACCTGATGTTTCGATATTTAACTCATTAGGATGCCAATTTAATATTTAGGGCCAACTTGTGGAAGTTGCACTATCTTCTAAGACTATCGATAAATGGCTTTTGAGCAAACAAAAATTAATCCATGTAAATTGCAAACATTTCTCATTTTAATTTAGGATATCCACTTAAATATACTGACGAATGTTCAAGTATAAGCGATAAATCCAAACAAAGACGAATACGTACAACGTTTACATCAAGTCAACTAAATGAGCTAGAAAAAATATTTTTGGAAACTCACTATCCAGATATATATACAAGAGAAGAAATTGCATCAAAGTTGCATTTGACGGAGGCAAGAGTACAGGTAAATTTAATAAAAGTCAAAATATATTTGAATGCATATAAATAAAACGAACCGACAGATAAACCTATATAACAAATATATTTTCTGCAACCTTACTTTTTTGGTTTATTGGTGCTTCACAAATAACAAACACCCTGGACACATAAAACTCTATTTGGGATTTATTTTAAGTGTTCCCCAAATAACAAATAACCTGAACCCAATCAACTCTATTTATTATTTTTTTTTTCTGTTTGAGTGTGAGCGAATTATGGCACTAAGCATACAATATATGGAGGGTTCAAATTGCAAAATAATCGAATCAAGAATTCTCAATGCTAGTGAGCCCCATGAGAGTAAGACTGCCGAGAGCGGAAGCCAAAAGCCTAGTCTTAAGAGCCGATCGATTAGTTTCAAGCCGTATCTCAATGATATCAATGACAGCACTGCAAAGAGTATGTCTTCTCTTTCGAGTGAGCTGTTGTGTGAAATTATTAAAGGGTTTGGCCCGTCCATGAGCAAAGGAAGCTACTTGGAAACAAGCGTAAAGCGCAAGAGCTTCTTTTAACTCCTTGAACTGCAATTATCTGTATATTGTATGCTATCCTGCGTGCATGTGCTGCAATTTTAATTCAGTATTTTTTTAAAACTTCCCTTAGTTTGGCTATAATATATAGGATAAGTTCAAGACCGGCAGAAGGAACTTTTGTTTTAAATTAATCCGCTGGGGCCGTGGCAAATCTATATTTAATAGCTGGACCAAAAGGGGAATGAAATCTATTGAAACTAAAATACAAATATAATATCATATAACTAGAGTAGAAGGGAAAGCGAGAAAGGATATCTTCGGCAAGCCTTACGGCTTTGCAAATATTTGATTAAAGTGAACCTTATTATTGCTGAGTTTGCCGAAAAGTTCTTGGAAAACAGAATATTTTGCCATACAAGAACCGAATATTCGACCTATCAGTTCTAATTGGCTAATTGGGAAGGTTGAATAATCGTTAGGAACACAGCTTTTTTATTAAAACCCTGCCATGGCTATGTCAAAAGGGGTTAACTAGTCTTCGGCGTGCCGAAGATGGCCGTTCTTCTTTGCACTAATGATTTATTTGCGATGTCTTTTTAGGTTTGGTTCCAGAATCGCAGGGCGAAATTTCGGAAACAAGAAAGGCATGCCGTTTATGTTATGAAAGATAATTGTACCAAAATGGAAAGGCGGCAAGATGCAGTATCTGGGACTCAATGTTATGATGTATTAATTCCGGAATCTCAAAATTCGTGCCAAAGAAAATGTTTTTATAATAAAATATAAAACATAAAATTTATACAAAAATATCCAACACATTTGAGTGCAATTGCAGCTATTCAAATTAAAAAACGATTTGCTAGCTCGGGGCGTGGCAGCATGAATATACTTTATTTGTGTGATCTCTGAGATCACTACTGCCAGGAAACATGGAGTCGTGAATAAAGTTATTTAACTGTGGCTCAGAATAATTTCTTTGCTAAGATCAACAACGAATGAATAAGTGAGTGAGATAAAAGAAGAATACCTCTAAATGTGTGAATTCGCACTATTGTTAATGAAATTGCTTTTGCGATGCGAATCTAGAATCCAACATACTCCCCCGTTGGAAGCCTGACTTTCAACAGACTCCTTAATGGGCACCAGACAGCTTCTTTACTGCTCTTCTAATGATTCCGGATGATGTCCTCAGATCGGATACGCGAGATACTCCATCCTTGCTAGGAATCAGATTCAGTACCCTAACCAGCGGCCTACGCATGGGAGGCATATTTTCATTCTTAACGAGCATTCTTAGAGTACGCCATTTAGCCCGCTTTTGTAGTAAGACGAGGTACTCCTCACGCCAGAACACCTTTTGAAGATGTACCATACGCTGCCATCCATCCAAGCGATTGTAGTACAGTTTGGTTAGATCAGCCTCGATTATGGTTTTTGGAGGACCACCAAACACTAGATAACCAGGAGTCGGGACATATAGATCTTCTGGGATCTCTGAGAGCGAGAATAGAGAGATGGGTGTGAGCTTACAATGGATATGGAGAGCGGTAAACATGCTGCTTGGCCAGTTTTCCAATCCGATTTATCGATGACGAAGCTAGGCTAACCTAACTATCGGTAATTTTTCGAGCCACGGGAGTATCGATTGAGAACCTGAGTCTAATAAAGTCCTACAGGGATCCAAGGATCCAGGAGAGTTGCAACAGGAGAGTTTGATAAGGCCACAACAAAATAGCAGCAATGCGCGTGGCCTTCATCAAGCTAACAGCCTAGGACACCGTCAGGCAAAGGTACTGGCCACAGGTTCTCCCACAAGATACCCGCACGGAATCAGGGGCACTACGTCTTATTTTGACCTAGCCAGCTGTCAGGGGATCTCTGGCAAGCTCCTCCCAATCGCTGACGATTGGACCTTACCGACCGACCACCTGGCCCTGATAGTTACCCTAGAGAGCGGAGCCAGAGTGGTCTGCGGAATACCGATCAACGCGCGCACTAATCGCAGTGTTTTCCAGAGACAGATGAATGATTTGCCTAATGCAAAGATTCGCGCAGCAGCAGCCGAAGCAAGTCATCCACCAGTGATCAGACGGCTGGATAGTGCTGGCAACGATCTGCCAGTGCAGGCGTAGGTTTCAGACGACTTATCATCTCTGGGACAGACGAAGTGGCGAAAAATGGGGTGGGAGCTTAAGATCGCCTTCTCCAATAGATTGGAGAGCATGGTCTACACCCACGACGCAGGAAACTCGCTCTGGCGACCTACATAAAACCTGAAGCGCCAACCCATTAGAAACGTTCCTCTTGTTCGCAATGATGGCTAATACTGCCTTACAGACGAAGAGTAAGCCGACACCTTCGTCTGCCTACCCAAGCGTTGGAGACTCCGCTTCAGATCGCACCGTAGGTCATCAATGATCTCGCGCTTGAGTATGGAGTGGTAAATGGGTCTGACTACTATGTGGTAGGAGCTCACCTGATGCTATCAAGATCCACAAATTGTGACAGTAAGAGCCACACGTCCTGAATGTCGTCGATGCCATTCAGCACTATAAGAGGCGGCTCGATCACTAGTTCTTTCCCCAGACCCACTTATCGTAAGCCATCATTTGCCTGACTAGCCCTACCGGGCCAGTAAAACTGACGGAGCAAGGTCTCAAGCGACACCACCATGGCCAGCCGTCATGTTTTCGTTGGTGTTTACTCAACTTAGCTGAAAAGAAGGCCATGGGTCGCTCCTGATTATCGGCGTCCTTTTGGAACAAGACCGTTCCCACCCGAAGCTGATGAATGGTTTTGAAACGTCCGCATATACAAGCACAGTTGCTGTGGTCAGTGCCGTCTTCAACTTATCAATGGCTTGAATTGCCGCTTCCATGGGAATAAACTTGCCGTTATCCTTCTTTACCGTTCAACCTCGCATAAAGCGCCGGTACCAACCTGCTTTACCCAAAAATGAGCGGTCTTCCTATATATTAAATATATAGCTATAATCTGTCCGGGGTCCATGCGTGCCACTACCAATAACAAAACCGACATATTTCAAAACTTTGATGCAGACTTTAGATTTGTGCTGCCCCATGGAAGAATACGCTTCACTTACAAGTACCTTAGGTGAGTTCACCTAAACAAAAACATTGGACCGCAGCTGGGTGAGTATTATCTTGTCCTTGTCCTCGTCTATCAGGCGAACTTGTCGTTGTGCTGCATTGCACAGCCCAAATGGGATGGCTCGGAATCGATATAAGAGTCTACTAGGGACTATAAATGCGGTTTATGGTTTGCTTTTGTCTTCTAGTTCCACTTGCCAATATGCGAACTTTAAATCTACACAAGAGATAGAAAAAAATACGCTAGCAAGATGGGACTTCGGTATTCGTTCGGTTGGCGGGACACATTTAAAAAGGAATATACAAATGTATTGGTGTTGCTCATTTTAATTTTAATGGTGTATTTTATGTAACAATAATAAGAACAACCCTGTGTAACAGTAGTTTCAACAATATAACAACAAATTTTATTTAAACTAAAATATTCAAGCGAGGGAATAAATAATACACTAAGGAGCTCAGCAATAATATCCGAAAATCTGTACAACTTTTCCACGATCCAGACGTTAGTATGGTAGTCAAATTCTGTGAATATCCTTCGAAAGTCACAACACACTTGTGGGAGTCCGTGTCCTCGTCATCATCCTGGATCGCAGCAAAGGTAGTTGCATTAAAGTATCCATCCTCGTTTTCCTGGGGCTCGTTGGCCACCACCTTAACAATATCATCATCTTCCGATCTAAAACAATGAAATGTAATTTATAAATTTGAAATATATATTTTTATTTCCAAGCCTTTCGCGGGCAGTTACATACGTAATTGTTATGGTTGGCCTCGGAAACACGTTGGAGACCGTGCACTCCAGTTGAGTCTCATTTTGAATTTGATAGCGATACATGTTCAGTGTAAAATTTCGAACATCAATAACCTGTACGCTTTTATGAACCGTAATCGTTTCTGTTCTCGTCTGTACAACACATTTATAGTCTCCGGTAGAGTCTATAGAAGGATTTATGAGGGCCAGTGCACTGTATTGTTTATTTGGATCCGTTGAACTTTCATATGAACTATCCACATCACTTTTAAATTCCGGCTAACGAAAGTACCACATATATAAAATTGTTAGACAAGGTTAAGATAATAGAATACATACAATTGGCGCCGGATGCGATCCTCGGATCCACTGGTAAATAGTTTTGTCGTTTCTGAACCATTTGACAGTCAGAAATGAATCGGTGTCATTGAGATTATAATCACAATCTAATACGGTTGGTTCCATTCCGTCGTTCTGAAGGACAATAAACTTTGTTTCCGCATCGATTTTGACTGGCAGACATCGTACATCTTTGCAAAAAGAAAAGCATAATATTGAATGAGAACTCATTAATTACATTTTGATATTACATTCAAATTGTCCCACTTTGGGCTTAATTTACGTTAATGTAATAAATCCTAGTGCTATTTAAGACGTACGGAAGAAAGTAGGAATGATTCGCTCTACGGAACATTCGTTTTCAAGTCTGTTTAATCTGCCGAGCGTAATCGACTGCCGTGATATCAAAGATGAAAGAGAATTTCATGAATTTTTGATTGACAACAGGTATTAATAAAACACATTTCCCTTGTTTTAATATTACGATTGATTCCCATGATTGTTTTGCTTAACAGCGGGCAAAGTTCGCTCCTTACAAGTTACTCTTCAGAAAATTCTAAAAATAATCCCTTTTTAAATCAAATTTTTACTTAACATTAGATTCTTCTGTTTTCTTAAAACTCACAATATGGTACGTATACTCTTAAGTCTATAAGCTTAGCTGATCAAGAATATATATATATATATGTATATATATCTAATTTGAGGTCCTTGAATGAGTTACATTTGTAACAAAATGAATATAAGGTTATACTTATAAAAAAGAAAGTACGGCTGTCTTAAATACCCTTGAGAAGACCTATGGCTAACGGTTAAGGAGGTGAACCTCGAACAGGCCATTAAACAGCTATTGCCGCAACTTTAGCGCTAAAATATACCAAATCAACAAAATACCGATTAATGTAATCGAATATTTATCATGTCAGGGTCACAGTATTGCAAGAAATTCTTCAGTGTTATTGTTGTTGCAAGCTCTTACTAGCTTAGAACACTGCAACGAAATAAACGCCTTATAATATATTTTAAGGGATACTATTGATAGTATCGATGTTAGGCGGCAAAAGCTATAAATAAGATCGGTGTGTGGCCTTAAATCATGTGCGTGTGTGTAGTTTTAGTTTGATTGCTTAAAACAGGGATTAGGGGTTAAGTTAGTTAATTAGCTAATAGCACAGTGACTGCAGAATTCCATAATTTTTATGTGTGTTTGTTTCGTTAAAAGAAAGTTCGAAGCTTAGGAACAGTAACTCAAGTCTAGGCACAGAGGCTTTCTCCTAGGCGATCACGCTGGAGCAAAGCAGTTTTGCTTGTTATAGCTTGCATATCTGTAAGTCTCTGATTATATCAAAAACAACGAAACAAATTTCCTAAGAAAATGACAACAATTTTATTTGTGTCCAGCTAAGGACAAGCTTGCCAGCTTCCAAGTAAGTGCTCAACTACAGTCTAAATGCAGATCCCATACAAATCCTAGATTCCTCGATTTTCCCGCAAGTGGTTTGCTAATTATTTGTATATTTTATTGGTATGATCACATTTTATTTCTATACATTAATTTAAATTTGATTTTTAGCACAATTTTCTTTTAACAAGACACGTTTTTTTTTTTCATTTTAAAAGTGTCATATCCGTTGGTTTTTTCAGAATTATGAATTAAATTAAATGATATATTTCCAATGTTTTTTGGTTTTTAGTAGTTTTTTAGTAATTGACCTCATTTTAATACACTTTTATTTGCTTGTAAATTTGTATGAAACTATATATTCGCAAAAAGTATACAAACATGCTCTTACTTTAAACAGTTTTGTTTATTTTTAACACACAAACAAATATATATATCTGTATAAATATAGGTATAAGTAATTATATATACATTCATTATTCACGTGAAGAGATGATTTCATTTCTAAATTTATAAATAATTTTTAAATGATCAGTATTAAACACTTTTATTGCATGAGAAAACGGATTTAACCGTTACCTTTTAAAATAGTCGATGTAGCAATAATCAAAGCTAAGAAGAGTTGCATATTAACTTATTTTTGGGCTCTTTAAAGAGTGTAACACAGAAAGAACAGTAAATTTCACTATTTTAAATACTCCTGCCGAACCGTTCGCTGGGCATGGTCAAGCACAATTGTCTGGTATATCACAACTGAACTATGTCGACCGTGGCATACGCTTAGGCACATTCATATGTTTATACGCAAGCACACATGTATTAGTATATATGTATATATATACACTTACAGCGTGGATATATGTTGAGCAGAACAGTCAACGGATCGCAGAGAGTCAACGAGACAAAACCCACCAATGTATGCTCTGCTCTGTCTGTTCCGGCGTTGCCTCTTTTGATCGTGTTTTATATTATGGCACACTTGTATGTATGTATGTATGCATGTATGTATGTGTGTATATGGGAGAACTTGTGCTCAGTTTACCATGTGTATCCAAATGTGCAGCTCGTGGCACTTACAGACATGTGTGTATATCAGCAGCTGCCACATGAGTGAGGGATGGAAAGGCTTTCTGCTTCGCTGATTTCAGCTAACTACTTTATACTACAGTCAATAGCGGGCATCAGCCCGTGTTATCATGCAAGTAGAACTGTGTATATATGTAAGTTTGTTCAAAAATAGTGCAGTCTACGATGCATGCACCTTACATGTACATATGTACATGTGCACATTTACCTACAAACAAACGTGTGTATATATGTAAGTAAGAAATGAAGAACGGCTGCTAATATGTACCTGCCTATGTACATATGTATGTGTATCTAACATCATTATCATATTTATGTTATGGTTAAAAATGTATATAAATATATATGTAAATACTAGTCTACAGGTTCGAATGTATCCAGTTGCTGGTTCAAACCTTGGGTTCGGGTTACTATTGCGGTTCGGCTTTAAATTTTATTCTAATAATTTACAAAATTATGAACTCCATAGAAACTAAGTTTGGGGATCACCTGGATTCGATTCAAGAAACTGTTTTTACATCTATATGGGATATTTGAGGGTACAATTTTACAATTTTACACGAATTTTGACCAAGAATATTGTTACCAGATTGAGATGCTAAATTGATCTAGAGGTCAAACAATGAACAAAGAGCCAACCTCGTGAAAATCGGATGAGATTTGACCGAGTAATGGGGATGGGGAATTTTGACCAATGATTATATAGGATATTTGAGGGTACCATTTTTACACGAATTTTGACCAAAAATAATGTTGCCATATTTATATGCCAAATTGATTATGTATTAATATATATATGTAAATATGTATGTACATATGTAAGTATGTATGTATGTAAGCAGGTGTAAATATATGAATGAATGCTTGAATTTATGTATGATGTATGTAATTATGTATGGGTGTGTAAATATGTGTGTGCTTGTGTGTATATATGTATGTGTGTATATATGTTTGTATGTAAGCATGTAAGTTTTCTTGAATTCCAATAGCAGACCAATTTGTCTTGTTGAGCGGCATATTTAAATAAGAAAACGTTTTCATAAAGGCTGCCCTCCTCCTCGATTCTCAAAAATGTAAGTAAGGCTTGCAGGCTTCACATATGAGTTAGTCGCTGGCGGCTTCAACGTGGTGCAGGAGGAGGACCAACAAGGGGGCGGAGCCGGTAGGTATGTAGGTATGTAGGTATGTAGGTATGTAGGTATATATGTATGTATGTATGTATGTATATATGTATGTATGTATGTATGTATGTATGTATGTATGTATGTATGTATGTATGTGTATGTATGTGTATGTATGTGTATGTATGTGTATGTATGTGTATGTATGTGTATGTATGTGTATGTATGTGTATGTATGTGTATGTATGTGTATGTATGTATGTGTATGTATGTGTATGTATGTGTATGTATGTGTATGTATGTGTATGTATGTATGTATATGTATGTATGTATGTATGTAGGTATGTATGTAGGTATGTATGTATGTATGTAATTATATATGTTTGTATGTATGTATGTATGTATGTATATATGTATGTACATATATATGTATTTATGTGCGTACATATGTTTGTCTGTATGTGTTTGTGTGCGAGTGTATTAATGAATGTGTATTAATGAATGTAGGTATGTATGTATGATATTAACATACATTAAAATTTTTATTTAAATTTTTATTTTTGTTATTTATTACAGAACTTAATTTAATGGCTTACATGAATTATAAAATATTCGAGCTGCATTAAAAAATGTATATTTAATTATTGAAAACAAAACAGTATTTTTTACAAGAATTTTAAATACACAAAAGGCTCCGCCAAATTGAAAATTCAAGCTTTATAATGACTACTCATCGATAGTTAGCAGCTAAATCGCCCGTCTTAGCGATAGTTCAAAACTTTCATCGTCAAGTAGTATCGTTGTTGCACGACTCTCGCTAATCGTGCTGCCACTGCGTTATCGGCAGCTTTTCATTGATTATATTAAATAAAATACACTACAAAGTTAACTTCCGCCGGCGGAAATGGAACCTAATAAAAAACTATTTGAAGTAGACACCACCTCCGACTCATTTGGACGTTCCTTATGTGGGATGACTTAAACGAAGAATTACCTGATAAATTACCCAGCTATTCGATTTAATATCGACAATCGAAAAACAACAAAAATCGCCAGGTATCCCTGCAGTGAAATCAGATGTTTTGTTATTCCAACTTTAATGTACATAAGTGCATACAAAAACCAGGTCCGTTGCTAAAGGTGGTTTGTACATAAATAATTGGTTTATTCTAGTAAACTAATATTTATCTGCAATCAACTAACAAAGGGTGTATTTATATTTATTTTTTATTTATTTTTTCAATTACACAGCTCTAATTAAAGCGGCGTTCTCACGTGGTTAGCTAATGAAATGCTCAAGAATTTTATAAATATTAAAGCGAGTATGCTTAAATCGAGTGTAATCTGCATTCATGCCCACAGAAGATGCTTGTCATACTTCTCAAGTGCATTCAACAATTTAGCAAATCAAGTTCCACAAAATGTACCCAACCAAAGAATCAATAACTTGGATTTAGATGTTTTTGTTAACCAGGACCATAAGCAAATGGATTTATTGGACAAACTAACAAAACTCAGGTATAGCAGTTACCAAAGAATAATTGAACGTACGAGTCAACTTTATTTTTATTTAGAAAACTGAAGGATTGCACCGCTGTGCCGCTTCTACCGAATATATTGGCAAAACAACTAGTCGACTTTTCCGGCCCACAAGATGCAGTTAACGTTCTACGGAGCCCTTTGCAGTATGGAATATTCATTGATAAGTTTACAGGATGCCATTTAATAGACCATTTGTTGCACGCTGGAAACACCCGAGAAGCGGCACAAATAGCAGCTCTACTTGTGGAACGAGACTTATGCAACAACGAGCTGGTCGCTGTACTTTCTCTAAAATCGTTTTACACCTTTTTAAAGAACTACCAACCAAGCCTACAAGAAAAGTCTGAGGACTCAGAAGTGGTATGTTCTAAAATACTTTTATAATCAAAATATTAAAGGTTTGTTTACTTTAGGAAAAAGTTCGTGTGAAATTTCTGCGCAACTCCTTTGAGAATACAAATGCGAAAACAGAAGAAAAACAACTCGGCGAAGCCCTGATTAAGTTAGGATCCAGTGCGAGTCTAGAAAGGACACTTGCAAAAAATGCATCATTGCTTGGCTTTGTACTGTGCGATCGCTATGCTGAAGCAGAAGAGTCTGTTACCCAGGACAGTGACGTTTTATATAAAGACGTTTTGCAGCTGTGCCGTAAAATAGTTGACATCTTGGAAGCGCAAAGTAATCCTGAGTTTAAGAATCTACTGGACGAAACACTTAAAAAATGTACACAAACTGATTCATTTGATGAGGTTTTAGATGCCCGCGTTAAGCATTGTGCCGCAAGCTTTGAGCCACAGCTCATGTCAGAGTACGCCAAAAGTTACCAAGAGTGGGACGCAAGGTTTCAGCGCGCCGTAGAAGAGCAAACTAAAATCCAGGATACAATTAACCGTGTTGAAAGCATTCAAAATACATTGGAAACATTAAAATCGAGGCGCCAAAACCTTTGGTTTTTCGAGAACAAAGAAGATATCGACATTCAAATTTACAAGAAAAAAGTCTATTATCCCAAACGCTGGTTTGGCAAGAAGAAGAAGCCCAAGGCAGTGGACGCGTTCTATGTACCGCCAAACGTTTCTCGGGGATACTAATTGTCGATGAATTAGTATATGTATATGAGAGCATATATGTAGGCCAAAAACGATTGGAGCCCAGTTTTTTAGATTTAATTTAAATGCTGGCGAAATAAACAAAGCTTAAATGTTGTCTCTTTTTTCGAACGGTAAATTTTTTAAATTACCATAACGTAACATTGAGGGTCACAGTTATATTCATTCCATCTCAGGTTACAACATTTTTATAACTTTTTGAGTTTTCATAAATTTTAGATATTAAAAACTAATCGTCTGTCATTTATGCATGGCCGGAGGCAGAGCAGTTTTTAAAACGCGCTGTCCTGGTGCTGAAGGCGACAGATTGATCGGAGATGGTAAATCATGCCTCTTGTCCTGAATAGTCAGAGGTAAGAACTGCTGCTGTTTCTTTTTTCGATTCATATTCATTGGATGGGTATTGTCGTTCTTTCCAAACAGAATGGTTAGGTGGACTGCGCAGAAGATACCCAAGCTCTATAATAATACAAAATATAATACGTTATTCGCTGATTGTGATCGTCTTGAATTGTGATTACCTGAAGAATCGCAATGATTGCAGCTCCGAATGCAGTTATCAACAGACGACTCTTGATTTGTTCCGATACAACGGCCAAACAGCCGCGCTTGTAGTGAGTATCACAAGCCGATTCGTAGGCGTGTTCAGGCCGGGAGCAGCAGGACCAGGGCAAGGAAAGTCGTCGATAGTCGAGCGGCCCATCGACACCGCAGCATTGCAACTGGAACCATAAAACATGTTGACTTAACTAGGATCTGATATGATAAAAGTATGCTTATAACACAAGGAGCGGTGCTCTAGATGGGAGCCCGACTAGGAATACCCTGCAGTAAATTGCATTTACAGTTTTAATACATGTTGCCGCAGCTCGGAGCTAAGATAAATCTTACTGGGATTCTTGGGGGCCATGATTGGGTGAGGCTTACCTGAGATTGCATGCGATTCCACAGATGTAAGTTGTCGACTTTAGTCCTTGAAAACTTGTCTAAAAACTCTACAAAAGAATCGTCTATGAAAATCTCTACAGACGTCGGCAGATTTTCCCGCATTGCCAAGGACCAACCACAGATTATAAATTGAACACATATACACGCCACTAAAAGAGCTGCAAACTACAAGAGAAATTAGAAATACGTATTTACATATCTACAAACAAGAGCAAAACAATTAACATTTCTGATTGGATTACCATTCCAAGCAGACAGCGTTTCCTCTGATTGGTTGCCTGACAGCCCATCCAACACAATATGAACGTGACAGGTCCCAGGCAAAGGAGTATTGCGGCTGGTGCCCACAACTTGTTCTGGACAATGCCATAATAGACCGAGTGTCCCCATAAGAGAGATGTTCCCAGAAATATTTGAGCTGCTCCTGTTAGCTGGACCATGTAACAACAGAAAAGGGTCTTGTATAAATACTACAAATTATATTCATATAATTATATTTTTAATAATGCTGGCATATTCCATTTCAATTAAATAGATAAGGTTCGGGGTAACTCCTAATCGAAAATAGTTTTTACTTTGCAAAAGCTTAGGCAATATTTATCTAAGAATATGCGAGGAATAGCAATGTTTATCTAAGATACATGAGGAGAGTCCCTGAGTCCTTGACTCGCTTGAATTTGTTTTCAAATGTTGTCTTTGGTGTATAAGCAGACAAACTTCAGTCCTTGACACATATGCACACACATACATATGCACACACATACATATGTATGTTCCTTAATATGCCTACATTTGTAAGGCATAGTATGTATGTAGCATATAGATGTATGTATCTATATATGCAGCATATTTATGTGCAAATACATGTATTTAAAAAAGTGTATATAATGCGCTGAGGTAAATTAGCTCAAGGTCACATGCAGAAGCACCAATTTTTGCCAGTGTACGCATGTACATATGTACATACAGTATACACTTATGTATACACACATAAGCATGTGTCTGTATGTGTGAGCGTGTGCTGAGCTTTTGCAATGCATACGAAATTGTAAATAAATGATTTAGTATGCACGTTGCTATAAAATTATTATTATTTTATTTCGTTTGCTGTTTCAAATGTTTATTTACTTAGTAAATATATGTATATATATATATATGTATATGCAAGTGTGTAATTGCAGCATTCGGGCTTACAACTTCGGAGCAACGGTCGTTGCATCACAAATACATATACACCTAAATACATACATACATATATATGTATATACATGTGCATTCTCATGCATCCTTACCCTGATGGTTTTTTAACAAACAGTGAACAATTTAATTTTACTTACCGCCAAGAGGAACACATAACTGTAAACTAAATATTTAAAAACTTTGATCTTTTTCGGTAGAGCCATAATATATATGCTCTGCTTTGAGTATTCTATTTATATGCTTCAGATACTTTTGAAAAAGTCTTTTATCCTGTCGTTCAAGCACTCACGAATCGAATTTACATCTATGTATGCATGTGAGAACAGATGAGTGTAAATGTATGTGTGCAGCACATCCATCAATAACTCAAATATATGCATGCATGTATACATATGTGCATGTATGCATATTTGCATGTAATGCATGTAAGAAAACATGCAATACATATGTACTGCACACACACATATTTAAATAGATAGAGTTGTACACAATGCAACGCTCTATATATTTGTTTATTTAATTGCAAATACACATGTACATATGTACATATGTATGCCAAAGTGAGACTCGAATTGGTCAGTTGTAGAATATTTTTGCTTGGTTTTTACTGAAAATTGTAACTGTCATTATTTAATGATTTTCCTTGTTGTTTTGTATATAATCCACAGAGCACATCAACATATCGCACCGTTATTTCCGAACTTCACAGTTGTAAATTTTAACTAAAAATAACAGTTAGTTAACTTCGATGCGAGCAAAATCGTCCATAGATAAAAACACGCAGTTTACGGTCTGACGCGTTGTTCCTTGTTTTGTTATACTTTTGCAGTTTAACAGTGAAAATATTATCTATAACCTTTGGCTCGGTTGCAATCGTTGCGGCAACGGGTCGCTCGAGTCGCTCGAGTCGCTCGATGACAGCAGCTCTCGTTGGCGCCAAATTTGCTTTGACTGTAATCTTGTTTCAAATTCAATTTTTCTAATAAAAATTAATTTGCTGCATTCCGTTCGTAGTGTACATCATTTGGTTGTAAAGGTAATTTAGCACGTATTTATCTGCGTTTCCATTTAATTAGCTTTCGTTTGAAAATAAACCCTGCAGAAAGTTCAATCAAATTCGTCAGCTGTTAATTTTTATAACGGGAACCCAAAGACTACTTTGATTTATTTTTTTTTGGGGTCTTGAAATTGCATTGAATATTATAAAACTAATATTTATAATAAATACCTAATGAGGCTTAAATATTTTTAACACTTCACAAATAATTCGATAATTAAAATCTGATTTAAAATTTGTTTTCAGTGATACAGAATCAAGTATGTATATTATATAGATATACCGATGCGTTCAATCCTTAAATGTTATCTAAAAACTAATAAGAATTCCCTGAAACAGAGATGGAAGCGGGGCGGGACGGGAACGCGGCTCGTCTCAACTTTTAAGTACCTTTTTTCCCATATGTAGATAAGGTCTTATATGGCTAAGGTTCAAGTTAGATTCTCTGTCAGGTTCAAGTTAGATTCTCTGTCAGATAAAGTGTCCCATTAGCGGCTTCAATTTCCCAATCGATTGATAAATTGACGTGCCACGTTTACATGCGAATGACAAAAATGCAATATTTGTGGCAACGCGAATGTCACATTTTTGAAAAATGTGAAAAATGTTGCCTGTACGTTTTCCCATAAGAAAACACAATTTTCATAATTGTCAAAAATGTGACATTTTCAAAAAAAATGTGTATTTATAGTTTTTTTGGGTTGATTAATCGAATTTCTTATCGATGTTGTGAAAAATTCGAAAGTATCATTACCAACAACAGCTAATCAAAGCTCATATCCTAATTTTGAACTGAACTCACCGATTATTGCTCGCTAAGTTGGATGTCAATCGGATGGTAAATTTCCATAGTTGCCGGTGGAATTCCCTTCCTCCATTCCACCTTCGATCCGCGCTTATCATCCAAAAAGGATGGATTTTGCGAATAGTGTAAGCGACGTATCAAATGAATTTTCACAGAGGCTCTTGAAATGATTCAAAATCCGATCGGATAGTTTTCAAAAAACTTTCTTTGAATCGCAATTTCCACCGAGGATGCTGGGATATTCCAATAAGTGTGTCTATATTTGTTCTTCAAGTCCCATCAGTCCCCAATCGAAGAGCAAACATATACTGATACTTACTTATACATTCATATATTCCAGTTGGGAATTCCTCGATTGCGTCTTGCAGGATATCTGCAACACATTGCATTTTTCTCGGTTGCATCAATCGATTTTTATATATTTTTTTTATATATTTGTTCTTAAAGTTTTAGAAATTTGAATAATAAGGTTTACTTGACGGTTTGGCCTACAAAAAGTCGGGAATAAAACTTAAAAAAGAAATGCTTTTGTTTTTATTACAAAGTTGTAAATTTTTTCTGTACAATTTACAATATTCTTATTTATGATTTTAAAAAAAATTGAAACTACATATAAAAAGTATGCAGGAGTGTGTTGTGTATAAAAATGTTAATCAAAAGTAAAATGTGAATCAAGTAGAAAATACAATACAAATTACAATACCTTCTGAATAAAAATATGCTTACGACCTAAAATAATCCACACAAATGGACCAGCCGGCGGCTCAAAGAAAGGGGATCGGATGTAATAATGGATATGCATACATATATAGTACATTTTCGAATCCGACTTAAATTAAAAGCCAATAGGCAGTGCTCGCACTTCTGACTGTCTCACGGGTCTGTCGCCGATGAAATGATTGAGTAAAAACAATTGAATGTGTATAAAGTTATGTGTGTTTAAATGTACATTTTACATATTATACAAGAGCTGATTTTTTGTTTTGTTTGTTTTTTGTTTTTTGTTTTTAGCTCCTGTTACTGTTACCGTAAGTTTATAAGTATATATAAAATTCAGGTCTCTTTGCAATTACTTATTCGATTGGCGTTAACAGGCAGCCAATCGAACAGATCCATTTTTGTAGATTATTCCCGAAGATTCTTGGTGAGCAGAAGGTTGTTGTGATGCCCAGACAAATGGCGTACCAGCTCCTGCACGGACTCAAAGCACATCGAACAGAAACAGCAGCTATATCGATTCTCAGTGTCCGTGCCATTCGTTGTGGTTATGACATTCCTATGAACGGAGCACAGATGCTTAAGAAGGTGCGCCTTTTGCTTGAACATGGCCACGCAGAGGCGGCAGGCGAACGGCTTTTCGCCAGTGTGGACGCGGAGATGTGTCTTAAGGTTCCACGACATGCCAAACTGTTTGCCACAGTATTCGCATCGATATTCGCGCACCGACGACGAGTGCGTATTGTTCGTGGATATATTGGACACGGAAGTAGTACTGTTGCGACCATCTGGGTCAAGGTTTAGGTTTATGTGCGATAAACTTGACAGTCGCGACTGCAAATTCGGCATTGTGGAAAGGGCAGCATTTTGATTCGATTGCCATTGATATACAAATTGTTGACCCAGGTGCATCTGCTGATGCAGCTCCGGGCTTTGCACTCGATTTCGTTGTGCTTCCAGCAGTTTTCTTTCCGGCGTCATAGTGTCAGTATTAAGTGTCCCATCTTCGAGCTGTGATAATATGTTCTTTTCTGTTGCTAATCCGGATATGGGCGATGTTGTCGACTTTACCAATCGCAGTTCTTCCAATAGGTTGTGCTGATACGTTGTGAAGGGTTGGTTATCGCTCTGCGTATTGTGAAAGCCAGGCCGACGTTTTCGATGGGGCGTTACAACATAGTTCTCCGGAGAACTATTTATATCGGATCCATCAGAGAGGGGTTTCATAACATCTTTGTGTGCGTCAAAAAATAGTCCTTTTCGCTTCGTGCTTTCATGTGCGCTGATTGTGTCGACGTTATTTTGTTTTAACTGAAAATTTTTACTATCATTCCGTGCCGCATTGTCACTTTTCGTTCGAAGATCAAGGGATAAGTTTACAGGGTTTATTGTTGAGTTATTATTATTGTTATTATTGCTGCTGCTGCTATTATTGGCAAGTCCACCCGCTGGAATGTCCGAAAGGTTTACAATTTCATCAGTGTCTTTATCGCTCTTATTGTCCTTGTTGGCGCAGTCATCATCGTCATCTTCCTTATGCGAGCACTCGATCGCGCTCTCGCAGTTTTCAGCTGAGAACGAGGAAAAGTCTGCCGTATTTCTCGTTTCGTCCACACTCTCGACTTCATATTTTAAGGATTGGTCTAGAGTTTGCGAGGAGGAGTACTGCTTCCGTGGTCTCTCACGTATGCTGGAGCATTTACTGCTCAGATAGGCTGAATCTGTAGTCTTCCAACTGTCCGACTTGATTTGCAGCAACAGCAACAAATCGTGCAGATAGTTGACGTCTCGCGACGTTATACACGTTTGCCCGGAATACAAGAAATCCAATAGAAATTTAAAATATGTGGCATTCACGTCCGGAAAATAGACGGTTGTCGTGCAATCACTCAGGTGAGTATCCTCCAATAAATTCCTACAATTTCAACACAAATTAGTCTGCTTAGCAAATTAACTATTGCATCCATTCGCTTACCTTATAAGTGGACTGGCGGCAGCGAGTACCAATTTGTGCGCATGTAGCTTCACCTTGTTTTCACACACGATTGTCAAGTCTGCTGGATGCTCTCCTCTGAAAGCTGCTCCGATTTCTTTGAGGATGCACTCACCATGCTTGCTGTATTGCAACATCAACATTCTTTGAAACTGTGAATAATAACAAACACATATATCCATGTAAATACAACCCATATTCTCTTGATCGCTTATCAATACTAGATAAAAGATATTATAATGCAGAGGTTATCTACTTCTTGTAGAATCAATTGTAATTTATGTAAAAGTAATTGTAAAGGATAAAGGATTTTTACTGATGATGAATGATATTGGATTAAATTTATATATTTTATATTTTTTTATTTATATATTATTTGGTGTGTTTATTCAGTATCTCTTGAAGTAGAATGTCCATATTAAAATGATTCGAATTAACTCATTTTAAAGAAAATCTTTTACTAACAATTTTTCCAATTATTATATGGAATATATTTACTAAACAACTCGGATTCAAATCTGTACAATGTGATGCAAGGTTAAGTAGTCTAAGGACATCAAATGCCAAAAACGGAAAGCATACAAGAAGAAGCAGAGCATTTTGGCGCCAGAAACAGGGTATCTTCTGTAGGGCACTCCCGACCAGAACTCTCTTAAACTACTCAGTTGAAGGAGAAACTTATCTTAAGGAATGCAAGGAATGAACTTAATGCATAGGCATAAAAAGCTTTAAAAGCTTTTCCAAAAGAATTGTAATTGGAAATTTTCTCGGTGTCAAGTTTTGGGAAAGGGCATTGGATTTAAAAACCAACGAAATTGTTAAATCAAAAAAATGCATGTTCGTTTCAGCTTATACCAAGCGTACGTATGTATGTATGTATGTATGTATGTATGTATGTCTGTTCATATGAACAAATAAAAGGCCATGTGTCATTTCGTATTGTGCAAGAGCACGGCTTGTCAGCTTGTGAATTTAAAAGTTAACATTGTGTGTATTTAAACACACACACACATTTAAGCACACGGGCTTACAGATTCACAGCGCGCATGTATGTGTGCACACGCATGTGTGCATGTGTGGCTATCGAATTGTCGCTGTGTGCGAGTCTACAGGGCCACACATTGAAGCTAAAGTTCACAGATCTCTAAAACTTTAGAAAGAGATAGTCTTGCTTTTGCCGTGAATGGAGAAGAAACGTTCACTTTCAA